ACAAAAGCTCACTCGTGGACATTCAACAAGAGCATGAACTAGCGTTTCAGTATTACCACAGTAATCGCATCCTGTATCAAGCTCCAGTCCCCTTCTTGCCAAATTTGCTTTAACTGGCAGAATGTCTCGACAACACCTCCAGAGAAAATGCCTCACTTTTGGCGGAATTTTCAGTGACCAAAGAATTTTCCAAAAACTCGACCGCCAAACATCTTCAGGATCCACATATTGTGACGCTACTAATCTGTATCCAGATTTCACAGAGTATATCCCAGAGTCTGTCCAATGCCATATAAGGATGTCGTCATGAACATTTGTAACTAAAGGAATAGAAGTAATAATTTCAGCAATTGAAGGATCGAAAAGACCATGTATCAGTGGCAAATTCCAAGCACGTGCCTCGTGTGCCAAAATAAGATCAGAAACCCGTATATGCTCAAAACCAGAAATAATAGGCAAGTGAACCCGAAACTGATTATCCTGTAATAGCCACGGTTCGGTCCAGACATTTACTGACTGACCATCTCCGATTCTCCACCGAAAACCTGAACATATAGCATCCTTGGCTACACAAATCCCTCTCCATACAAAGCTTGGATTACGTCCAACGCCTGCACCAAGAAAATTCCCACTAGGGAAATATTTAGATTTGAAAGAGCTATAAAAGAGAGAGTTTGTATTATGTAAAAGCCTCCAGCAATGCTTTCCTAACAAGGCCAGATTGAAACTTCGCAAATGTCTAAAACCCAAACCTCCGTCTTCCTTCGCTACACACATCCTTTCCCAACTCAACCATCTCATCTTTCTCATCTTTCCTCCCCACCAATAGGAATTCATGAGCCGCTGAAGCTCCGTTAAAATAGATACCGGTATAAGAAAAGAACTCATACAGAATGAGGGAATAGCTTGTGATACAGCCTTTAATAGAACCTCTTTACCCCCTTTGGAGAGGAGTTTCTGATTCCAACCACTGACCAACTTCCTCACTCGATCCTTCAAGAAAGAAAAAATACGTCTCCTTTCCCTACCAATTAATGATGGCAAACCGAGATACCTTCCGTGGTTTAAAGGAGCAATCACACCAAATACCCCTTGAACAGCAGTCTTATCCAGCTTAGAAGTGTTAGAGCTGAAAAAAATACCAGATTTTTGCCAATTAACCGTTTGACCTGAAGCTGCTTCATAAGTAACTAGAATATTTTTAATCTCTAGAGCTTGAGTCCATGATGCCTCAAAAAAGAACAGACTATCATCCGCAAATAGCAAGTGAGATAACTGAGGAGCAGCTCTCGAGACTCTACAGCCTTTGAGGCGACCGTCACGTTCAGACTGACTAAATAGCTTTGACAGTCCTTCAGCACAGAGAATAAATAAATAGGGTGATAATGGACAACCTTGTCTCAACCCCCGTTCTGGAATAATTGGGCCAACCTCATCCCCATTCACTCCCACCCAGTATTTAACAGAGGAAACACACAGCATGACCCACCCAGTATTTAACAGAGGAAACACACAGCATGATCAAGTCAACCCAACGCTGGCTAAAACCCAACCCCTGCATAACAGCCCGTAGGTAACACCAATTAACTCTGTCATAGGCTTTTGAGATATCAACTTTCAATGCAGAGACTCCTTGTCGACCTTTCATTCTTGTTTGCATAGAGTGGATTAACTCAAAAGCAACTAACACATTATCTGAGATCAACCGACCCGGGACAAAAGCCGACTGAGATATTGAAATAAGATTAGGCAGAATGGTCTTCAGTCTGTTCGCCAGAACCTTAGCAAACACTTTGTAAACTACATTACAAAGTGAAATAGGTCGAAAATCCTTCACTGCCTCTGGGTCCTCTACTTTCGGAATCAACACAATTAAGGTATCATTCACATTATTAGGAAAAATGCCTATATTGAACCAGTCTCGGCAACTTTTGACAACATCGTGACCCATAACATCCCAAAACCTGTGGTAGAATCTAGGATTTAGACCATCCATCCCTGGGCTTTTTATCTGCATGCATTTATTTCGCAGCCAATTGTACCTCATCCACCGAAATATCTCCAAGTAAACGATCCACCGAAATATCTCCAAGTAAACGAGAGTTGTCATTATCCGAAACGAAAGGAGAGAATAAACCCACAACAGGACTTAAGTCAACATCCCCGGCCTCAAATAGATTAACAAAATAAGCACTCACCATACCTTTCAGCAAATTGTTGTCACTGATCCACTCGCCATTAGCATCCTTTAACCGAAAAATCTGCTTCAACTTTTTCCGTTTCTTAGCAGTTGCATGGAAATACCTAGAGTTCATATCCCCCGATTTTAACCAATGAGATTTCGCTCTTTGAGACCAGAAAACCTCTTCACGGTGCAGAACATCATCAAGCATACGCTGTACATCTTCAAACTGTTCAATATTACCCCTGATTCGAAGATTTTCAAGCTGCACTGTCAACTTCTTTGCATTATGCCTAAACCGAAGCTTTAAGCTCCTACCACAGCTCTGTAAGCGTTCTCCACAAACTTTTATCTTCCTCCTGTAAGCGTTCTCTACACAAAACTTTTAATCTTTCCCGTTACATTCAACACCCTCAATGACTAGTCCAACTCTCTCTTACCACAGCGTCTACATCAGATTACCTCTAGCCAAAATATTCTCAAACTGAAAACGTTGATGTCGCTGTGGTTTCAAAATTCTGGGAGAGAGTGAAGAATAAAAAGAGGAGAGTGGATCAGACTTAGCTTGAGAACTAAGTTCTGGAACTTGATAATTAGGAAAATGATTCTGCCAAAGTGATGTTTTCACCAAAAGCTCAGATTCCTCTAGCCAAATATTCTCAAACTGAAAACGTTGATGTCGCTGGTTTTCAATTCTGGGAGAAGTGAGAATAAAAAGAGGAGAGTGATCAGACTTACTTGAGACTAAGTTCTGGACTTGATAATTAGGAAAATGATTCTGCCAAGTGATGTTTCCCAAAGCTCTGTCTAATCTTTTCTCTACCCGGTGTTGACCTCTACCATGAGCCCAAGTAAAAGGGTACCCAGACATTCCTAGATCAACTAGACCACAGTCAGCCACAATATTCGAGAATTGAAAAGCTATGCTCTATAAGCATCTACTCTCTCTGACTGACGTGTCTGAAATAGGCCCACATACTGAATTTAATAATCACGTCATTTGAATTAAACGGCAGAGTAACAAACCTCAATTGTTAAGAAATCAAAATTTTATGATATCAATTCGATTAAAAGAATTTGCCATATTTATAAAAATAGTTAAAAGTTTGTAGGATAGTTGAACTTTTAACTATTTGTATACATTGTTCTTGTTATCATAGTAAATTAATAATATTAGCATTATGCTGTAAAATAAAAATAAAAACTTTAATTAACCCTGACATAAAAATTAAAATTTTTGCATTCAAGAATCACAAAAAACAATAAAGAAAAGGATAATCAAGTATCGCTTTTGCATGTCATGTATATCTCTATATCTATTCTGATTCTCAAGTGCAAATAAAATACATAAACAATATTAGTTTTCATCTAATGTTTTAGACAATTCCTTTAATCATTTGATCATAACAAGACATAGGTTAATACCTTTCAAATTTTTAACTAGTTCCTTCAATCGCTTTATCATAAATTAAAGGATGTAATTTGATTTCAATTTCAAACTATCAGTAAATAGATTGTTTGTTTTTGTAATAAACGGATAAACAACACGAGATATATATATGTTTTTGATTGATTGATTCACAAACTATGAAATATAATGCTTTAGTTTAGATTTTCATCAACTTGATATGGATGATATAAAGTGACTCTAACAAGTTTCAGTACATATCAGAAGAACATAAACATCCAGAGAATCGATAATGTTTCAATAATAATACAATCTTTAGATAGATGATACATATCCATAGCTTAAAAAAGCGAAATTGCTGAATTCCCCACAAAGTTGACTCAATTCTAATATATATCTCAATTTTCTTGAATTAATTAATCAAGTTTTGGTTGGATGTATGCTTTGCTTAGATAGCAGCAAATGGACAAAATTGAAATTGGAAGTAACTGTAAATATCATTGCAGTATTTTAAGTTCACATTGACATAGACATTAAAGTTAAAAGAAAGAAAAGGCTGAGGCACCGCTCGGTTGCTCCATTAAGGAGAGAACGTTTGGCGGATGGCACAAAATCCGGAATAGGACTGAAAAACCAGCGGCACGGGGAAGTTTTTCTTTTGTTTTTGTTGTTTTTTCTTCTCTTTCTATCTCTAAAACTACCCATCTCTCTTAGTTAATTGAATTCTGCATAAACGCCCAAAATACTGATTTGAACTTTATTGAAGAAAAGTTAAAAGGAAGGTTAGAAAATGGCAATTAGACATCCATGGAACAAACCAGAACACACATGGGGGGTTTATTTGAGCATGTGGGCTTCTCCATATTTGCTCATCTTGCTTACCCTTTTCACTCTTTAAGTTGATCTATCTTTGATTGGTTGAACTCGATCGCCATTGTTGCTGGCTAGCTGAGTATGGTTTTCTGTACAATTTTAGGGTTTTAATATTATGCGTAGTCTGTGTTTGTTAAAAACAGCATTAAGAGTAGAGGCGTCGCTTTCTTAATTGTTATTTATATTATTATAATTATAAGGAGGGTATTTGTTTATGTTATCCATTGTTGGTGGAGGCGGTGATATTGATAGATGATACAGTAAGTGAGTTTAGATAGAAAGGAAGATGCCCAGATGGTTTATGTTGCGTTTTTGTTGAGTAATTGACATTTACAAATGGGCCCTTTCTCTCTTCTGCTTCCTTAATCGGATACAATCTTTCTCTTTGCACTTATCCGTACACAGGAATCCCCTATCCTTCCCTTCTTCTCTCTCTTTATTATCTTCTCTCTCTCTCTCTCTCTCTCTCTCTCTTTCTGAAACTATCTGCGAACAACAGAACTCAAAAGGTTTCTCCAAGTTGCAATTTTTTTTTATTTATTACTATTTTTGGGCTTTTTCTTAAAAAAAAAAAAAAATTAAGCAAAAAAATGAAGGGTTTACATTTGCATGTTGAAGATCATGAAAATGTAACAAACCCTACAACTGGTTTTGGTACGACTGTTGATGCTATGGAGGAAGAAAGAGAAATCTGGTTAGAAAGAGAACAAGAAGATCTGTTAGATGTGAATAATTCTTCGATCTTTTATGATGATTACCCTGCTTTACCAGATTTCCCTTGCATGTCATCATCTTCTTCATCTTCGTCAACTCCTGCACCGGTCAAGGCCATGGCTTCATCATCATCTTCTTCTTCAGCTTCTTCTTCGTCATCCGCCGCTTCCTGGGCAGTTTTGAAGTCAGACGCAGAAGAAGATGTGGAGAAAAAAATTCATGATCATAACCAGCATCATCATTATCATAATCATCAGGGTCAATATGATCCCTTGGAACCAACCGCAGCTGCCTTATCTTCTACTGCTTCAATGGAGATCTTACAGCCACCTGATCAAGATGTTGGTGTTGGTTGCATGAGCATGATGGATAATTTCGGTTACATGGATCTGATCGAAAACAATGATTTTTTGGATCCTTCTTCGATATTTCAAGCTGATGAAAATTTCTTGGAAGAGTTCAATACAGAGCAGAATCTGCAACAGGAACTGCAGGTGCAACAGAGAAATGAAGAGTTAGCAATGGAAACAAAAAGTGAAGTGACTCAAAAACAAGAATCAGGGGAAGGAGCTTCAGATGATCTAGCAATGGTGTTTTTAGAGTGGTTAAAGAGCAATAAAGAGACTGTTTCTGCAGAAGACTTAAGAAAAGTCAAAATCAAGAAAGCTACTATAGAGTGTGCTGCTAAGCGTTTGGGTGGTGGTAAAGCAGCTATGAAACAATTGTTGAAGTTGATTCTTGAATGGGTTCAAACTAATCATCTTCAAAAAAGGAGGATGAAAGAATCATCTCAAGACCCTCTGCAAAACCCTAACCCTAATCTGAATTGTAGTAATTCTATTCAGCCAGATCAATCAAATCCTTGTTTCTCTCAATCACCTTGGATTGCACCTCCACCTTATATTTCCGACCCGGCAGCCACAGGCATGCAGGGTTTTCAACCTATGGTTGGGTACATGGCTGACCCGTTTGTTAATGGAGCTTCTAACATGGCTGGCCAATCTTATCCTCCACCACAACCACCGCAACCGCCATCATCCTCAGATTATCAAATGCTTGATTCTGCTCAATCTTGGTCCGCATCACAATTTGCTTTAGCTTCTCATTACTCACCATTTCCAGATAATAATCTCCAGCCGGTACCAACGCACCCGAATGTATTTAGCGGATATGGAAATCAATACCCATGTCAGTATCTCCCTACCCAAGTCGGTGATACGTTGGTGAGATTGGGTTCCTCAGCTACCAAAGAAGCAAGAAAGAAGAGAATGGCTAGACAAAGAAGGTTTATGTCACATCATAGAAATCACAATCACCAAAACAATAACCAACAAAACCAGAATCAAAATCAGAATACAGTAATAGATCACCATGGAAGGCTTGGAAGTGATAATATAACACCAGCAGCTCAGCCGCCTAATCCCGGTAATTGGGTTTACTGGCCTGCAGCTGTCGGCGGTGTTGCTGTTTCAACCACGCCTGTTCTACCTATGGATGCACCGCCGGTTCATACAGTGGATCGACCGGCCATGCAATCACATCAGAATCATCAACGGCAAGTGGCATCAGATAGGCGACAGGTGGGTTCACTACTTTGGATTTGTTAGATTGCCTTTATTGCTGAGATTATCTCAGTAATTATGCATTTATGATTAAGATGGTGAATAATTACAATTAAAGATAATTTTGTCTTTGTATATGTATGCTCATTTTGGTTTCTTCAGGGTTGGAAACCAGAGAAGAACCTGAGGTTTCTCCTTCAAAAGGTGCTGAAGCAGAGTGATGTGGGTAATCTTGGGAGGATAGTGTTGCCGAAGGTACTTGTTTTTTGTGTGTGTGCTGATTATTTCTTTGAATTTTTATTTATTTTTCTAAAAAAATATTGTAGAAAGAAGCAGAAACTCATTTACCAGAATTGGAGGCAAGAGATGGGATTTCTATTGCAATGGAAGACATAGGGACTTCTAGGGTTTGGAACATGCGTTATAGGTATTTTTGTATTCTAAATGATTCTTGATTTTCTTGATTTTTCCATTTCCATTCTTACAAAATTAATTCTCTGCACTTTCTTATTTTTATTTTTATTTTTCTACATGGAGTTTCAGATTCTGGCCCAACAACAAAAGCAGGATGTACCTCCTAGAAAACACAGGTTCGGTGGATATTTAATTTTTAGATATTTTCTTTTAAATTCTGAGTCTATAGTAATAACCTTCTTTTGATTTTGTTAATTAATTTCAGGAGATTTTGTGAGAACAAATGGACTTCAAGAAGGAGATTTCATTGTCATATACTCGGATGTCAAGTGTGGCAAATATGTATATATTTTTTTTTTTATGTATTTTTTTATTTATAATTTTAATATATAAATAGATTAATAGTTAATTAATTAATTAATTATGATTATTAACAGTTGATAAGAGGAGTGAAGGTGAGACAACCGGGAGCGAAACCAGAGAATAAGAAAGCAAGAAAATCACCAAAAAACTCACATGCAAGCACTCCTGCAACTGTTAATGGATCCTCTTCTAATACAAATCAAACCCAAACGGTAAAGTGAATGGTAGTAGAAAAAGAAGACACTTTCTCTCTCCTTCATGCATGAAAATGGATGGACAAGTGGATGGTCAAGATGTTGTGATAAGAGTAAGTTGGTATGGAAAACCCTAGATTCTCTGCACAATCCAATCAACAGTCTCTGATTTCTGAGTCAAAATCATGACAACAGCCAAGAGAGAGTATTAAGGAGACGGTTAATTAGTTAATAATAATAATAATAATAATAATAATAATAATAATAATAAATATATAATTAAATGGATGTTTGTATCATTAATTTGAGTTTTAGTTTTGGGGTTGCCCCTTACATTATACTAGTATTACTATACAATGTTTTGTACTTGTGCCAGTTAACTGTTGATACTACGTTACTGCTTTGCAAGAGTATATGACTCTATATATATATATATATATATATATATTGGTATCATTAATTATTGAGTTTTAAAAGTTTTGGGGTTGCCCTTACAATTATACTAGTTATTAACTATAACAATGTTTTTGTACTTGTGGCCAGTTAACTGTTGATAAACTACGTTACTGCTTTGCAAGAGTATATGACTCTATATTATATATATATAATATATATTATATATATATATATATATATATTTCATTTTATGTGTAATGTGGATAAATTTTATGATACAAAACCCTTATTGATAGTTATTACTATTTTGAAATCTTGAATTTTGTTGATTGGAAAGAATATTTGAAATGTTTTCTGTATAATATGATTTTAAATTGAATTGTTTAAATGTTTTAGCAATTTAGATAATGGGTTTTAATCAAATTTACATATATGATATTTTCTCTTTTTGTAATTATAAGTTAGAACCATAAATAAAAATTTAACTTTCCCTCTCCTGGGAGATGTCTTGAGAAAGTTTTTTTTTTAAAAAAAAAAAAAAATTATGTTGAGTTATAAATATTTTCTTTTTGAAGTGTAAGATAATTAAGAGATGGATGAATTTATAAAAAATGTAAATTATAATAGTATTTTTAATTTATACATATTTTTTTACTGATATTCTAGAAGTATTATCTACAGATGTAAAATTGATTCAATTAAATTTTTTTTATTGACAAATTAATTTGATGCACATATTATTCAAAATTAACAAATAATAGTGTTCTTAATTTTTTATTTATATAATGTAAATTTCCATCTTTTTAGACCGAAAAATGTAGTTTTAAGAACCTAGCTATTTCAAGAATGTAACATTCATGTATTAACCAAACATCAAAATCTTATGTATTAAATGTCTTTTTTTTTTTTGGTTAAAAGGTAAGCGAATAGTGTTGTGCATCTGCTTGTAACGTATGCTTATTCCACGTATAATTTCTAGAAGTAGAGTCTCATCCTTTTTAATTTTATTTCTAATATTCTTTCTATTAATTCTTTGCCTTCCAAAAAAAAAAAAAAAAAAACAAAACGAAAAAAAAAAAAAAAAAAACGCAAAACCCTCTTTTAAAATCATTTTCCACACTATAAAAAATAAAAAGAAAAAGAAAAAACAAGTAGTACTCCATGAAATTAGAAAATTTTTAGATTAATCATGGTCCCCTTATGGGTGTTTTGCTTGATTGTATGACACCATAATTAATTAATTAATTAATTAATTTTGGTTTTGATATTTTCTTCTAATTTTGTTGTTAACAATGAAGAACAAAAAATAATAGCAGCCAAAAAAAATTATGACGAAAGAATTGCTAGAATTTAATTTGATTTGCACTTGCGTACGACGTTGAAATAATGCGAATTTAGACTTGTTGTCGTTTAGTGAAGTGCAGTTACAACTTGCAAAATATTAGACATAGGAAAAGTACAACCTCTAACGCAAACAAAGCATCATTGTGTATGAAATGAAGACAACCTTGTATTAAGGATTACCACTCCATTTCTTTTCTTTTTTCAGCTAAGAAACTTAATGTTTTTGGTTTCATATCTATACATCAATACATCATCGTCATCGCAGAAATCCGTCTGTAATTGCCCAGAACTTTGTAGTGGATCATCATCATCCTAGTTTTCTACGTTTTTTTTTTTTTTTTTTATTTCTTTAAGAAGTCAAATATAATTTTCTTTATATTTTGAAGGATTAAAATGTAATTTTTAATAAGAATTTTTTTCAATTCCTTGGGAAGCTGTGTCCGCTTTGAGGCCAATCTGTATGGTTTTGCTTTGTCGTTGGGTGAAAGTCCTACCTCCGCACTTGCCCATCTTTATATATAAAGATTTTTAATTGCCTGCTTTTCTATTTTACACAAGAAAGTTCTGACACTGGACTAGCTAACATCCAGTTTATCTAAAATAATAGTGATACATGATGCTGCAAGGATAAAAAAATATTTAAGAAATTTATTTGAATGTAGTTTTAGCCATGGATGAAGAAGAATGTAAAAATGAAGAAGCAGAAAGGCTTGTACTGTTGCTTTCAGGATATGATTGTTCTTGCATCAGCGCTGATGATGGAGAGTTATTGCTATTCTCCTGTTGAGTATTTCCTGAAGATCCATTTATAAGCATGTCCACTTTCAAGCACTCGTGATCTCTAATCTCCTGCCTTATTTCCTTGAGCATTGCTGATACATCCTTCATGTTAGGCCTATCATCAGGACTTGGATTTACACATAGCAAAGCTACTCCTATGGTCTGCAACATCTCTTCAATCTCTGATTCGGGCCGAGCTCGTAAGCTAGGATCGAGCACTGCAATCCCTCCTCTCTTCTGCCTCACCCAATCTACAATGTGAAGCCCTTCTGGTATTGTTGGATCAATTGGTTGCTTCCCAGTTAGTACTTCTAGCACCACCACACCATAGCTATACACATCGCTTTTTTCGGTTATCTTCATCATATATCCGTACTCTGCAAACCAAATAAATGAGTCTCATCATTGTGAAAATTTTCTAAAGTCAAATCAGGACAATGCTATCAATATGCAATTTGAAAATTTTAGCCTCATCAGGACAATGCTGGTATGGATTTTGAACTCACCTGGAGCAATGTAACCATAGGAGCCAGCAACAGTAGCTGAAGAGCGAGCAAAATCACCATCATCGACAAGCTTGGCAAGTCCGAAATCAGCAATATATGGTTCAAATTCTGGGCCAATGAGAATGTTGTTAGCCTTAATGTCTCTGTGAACAATTGGAGGAACACAGTCATGATGCAAGTAAGCAAGACCTTGTGCTGCTTCCAAGACTATCCGGTACCTCACTTCCCATTCCAAGCAACCACCACTTCTTTCATGAAGAAGACTGCCTAAGCTCCCATTAGGCATATAGTCATACATAAGCAATCTCGTGTTTCGATTCCAACAGCATCCCAAGAATCTAACAATGTTCTTATGGCGAATGGAACCAAGAGTTTTTACCTCAGCTGAAAAGGAATCGCGAACTCCTCCAATTCCTAACCTATCATTTTGACAATCATGTCCTGCAGCAATTGTTGCTGGCCAAAGCTTTTTAACAGCAATGACTTCCCCATTTTCAAGTTCTGCACGATACACAATTCCTGAACATCCTTTTCCTATTACATTGTCTTCCACTAGGCATTTTAGGACTTGTTCTACTGAAAAATTTAGCTTCTGAAATGGATTGAAATGCCAAGGCCATGAATCTCCTCCCAACTCAGATTCACAATCATCTCCTATCAATTTTCGAGCTCTAAAAAAAATAATCGCCCCAAAAATTGCCAATGCTATAGTCAAGGCGACGAGCAATGCAATGGCTAGTTTAAGTCTCTGTGATCTTTTCAAGTGACCATTATTAGCCATGCTCATCATTGTTGCATTGCTTAAGAAACATGACTCACGGCCTTTAGAACACAATCCCTGATTTCCTGCCAAGTCTGTCGCAGATAACTGTCTAAACAGCTTATTGTCCGGAAGATAGCCAGAGAAATTGTTGTAGGAAATGTTTAAAGAAACAAGATTTTCAAGACCAGCCAGTGATACCAAGTCTCCTCCTAGCTTATTGTGTGATAGGTCAAGAATAGATAATTTGTTTAGAGCAGAAATCTGTGGTGGGATTACCCCAGTAAGCGCATTCCAACTCAAATTCAAAGCAATATCAAGACCATCAATATCAAACAGTTCAACTGGGATCTTGCCAGATAGTTCATTGCTACTGAGATCAAGAAGCTGAAGACTTGAACATTGACTAAGTGAGGAAGGAATTCCCCCAGAGAAAAAGTTCTTACTTAGAATCAGTCTATTAAGTGAAATAAGTTTATTAAAACTAGTTGGAATTTCACCCACAAATTGATTCATAGAAACATCCAATACTTGAAGTCTAGTAAGAGAAGATAAAGAATTAGGCAAATTACCTTGAAGGGTGTTGTTACTTAAGTTCAACATCTGCAAATCAGAGCAATTTCCAATTTCGTCTGGTAAAGTCCCACCAAGATGGTTTTCAGACAAGTCAAGAAAATTGAGGTCATTGAGCAATCCAATTTCTTTTGGAATATTTCCACTGATTTTGTTATTTACGAGGCGAAGACGAATAAGAGCGCTGCAATTACCAATCTCTTGAGGAATTGAACCAGAAATGTCATTAGCAATTAAAAGAAGCTTTGTTAGGTTCTGAAGCTGAAATAGGCCAGGAGGTAAGCTACCAGTAAGTGCATTATGCGATAAATCTAATGCTTCAAGGCTTCTGCAGCTACCTAACTCTACAGGAATGCTTCCTTCAAGTTTGTTCTGCCAAGCAAAGAAGACTGTTAACTGTGTCAGCATACCAAGCTCTTTAGGAATTGAACCTGATATCTGATTAGCATCAAGCTGCAACTGTAGTAAATTTGTAGCATTTGAAAGAACTGGAGGGATCAAACCAGAAATATTATTATTGCTAAGCATAAGCTCTTCGAGATTTGATAGGTTGCCAAAAGACTTAGGTATGTCTCCAGAGAAAAAATTTAAGGAAAGATCAAAAATCTTCAAGCTTTTACAGTTTCCAATCTCATTAGGAATAATCCCATCAAAATTGTTTTGCCATAGTAACATCTTTTCCAGCTTCAGTAGTTTACCCAACTGTGGTGGCAATGAACCTGAGAGATCATTCTCATATAAAAATAAGTTGACAAGCTCTGAGCAGTTGCCTAAATCAGGTGGAATCTCACCAGACAGCATTGTAGTGTATACTGATAGTGTTTGAAGCTTGCTTAGCTTGCCTAATGAAGCAGGTATAGAACCTGAAATTTTAGTATCAGCTAAACCAAGAACTTGCAAATTCTCGCAATCTCCAAGCTCTTCTGGAATCTTTCCTGCAATGTTCTTGTTCCCTCCAGCGCGAATGACCTCTAAATTTGTTAGTCTGCCTAGTTCAACTGGAATATTCCCGCTAAAGAAATTATCATATATGTCAAGATTCTTGAGATTAGAGCAATTACCAAGCTCAACTGGGATTTCCCCAGTAAACTCATTGGAGTTCAAAATCAAGTCCTGAAGATTTTGGAGCTTGCCAATGCTTTTAGGAATACTACCCACAAGACTGTTAGAACTAACATCAAGGACTATCAGGTTTTTACAGTCTCCAACATCAGGTGGGATAGTACCGGTGAGATTAACAGCAGAAAGAATGATCTTTTCAAGGTAAAGAAGAGAGGAAAGATTGGAAGGGAAAGGAAGAGCAATATCAGTAGACTGAATGTTGATTTCAATAACAAAGTTATTAGAAGAGCAAGTGATATAAGACCACTTACAAGGGTTAGAATCCAAATGGTTCCAATTAGAGAAAACTGGAGAGAGTAAAGAAGAGGAGCTGTGAAGCCAAGAAAGTAAAGTATCGACTTCATTATTTGCTGCAGAACTAGCAGCAAATACTCCAAGTGCAAGAAAAAGAAAGAAGACGAGGTGGTTGTGGTGGCGGTGGTGGTGGTGGTGGTTGTAGGGTTGCCTCGACATCGGCATTGGCAATTTGCATCAAATCCCAAATCTCTCTTCTTGATTCTGCATTGGGTTTGTCTAACCTAATCTAAATCCTCTTTCTTCTCTCTCTTATGTTAAACTCAAAACTCACTAATAAGATTGTCTTTGAAGACAAGCAACAAACACATACATACAGAGCAATAAAGAAAAGAAACAAAAGATTAAAGATTTTCAACTACTCCACCACCTATTTCACCTCGGGGTTCTGTTTCTTGATCTTTTTTCTTTATTTGAATAGATACTCCATGTGTTCTTGCATTGTTTTCCTCAATAAGTTTTCAGTATTATTGATTGTTTTAGCTTTGATAACAGAGCCACCACTCTTCCTTGAAAAAAGAAAAAAAAAAACCAACAAGGCATTACCTTCGGTTACATTTCTCAAGAATCTTGAAAATTTTTCCTTCCTTCTGGTTTAAATCATTATAAATGTTTTATCTATAGCTTATATATGTTCAAGAAAATCTGTGCGGTCTTCACTTCCTTTGCATTTTCTTTTTGAGGTACCAAACAGGTAGATATGGCAAGAATTATAGTTATATGTCTAAAAGCAATTCAATATTTCAAGTAACAAGGTGAGCAAGACAAGCTATCATATTCTCTTATGGGGGAACTTTGCATCTCTGATTGCCAAGCAGATTGTACTTGTTCATCACATTATGAGACCCATACCCATTAACACATATATAAAAAATGAAAAATTTATTATTACCTTGAGGAAATTCATTTTTTCCCGGGTAATCTTTTTTTTTTGGGCTTTGCTTAGTTATTAATTAATTATTAAAATAGTTTATAAAATTAAAAGATTGTGAATTTAAATTTTAATCGAAATTTATAGACCATTAAATTTGGAATAAGTCTAGTTATTGGTAACATATTTGACTTGTACTAATATAATTTTAAAGGGTTGTTACACTAGTTCTTATATACTCTATTTGTCCACAAACTTAAGTCATTTTAGGGAAATTTTTTGTCCACAAATATAAAAAAGTAATTAACGATGTTTTTTCAATTTTATTTGCAATAATGATCTTTACAAATTTTGATCAAATTAATAAACATTTTGTTATAATTTTAAGAGAGTTAATTATTTCATTAATCACCGTGCAATAACCTTAAATGACTTATATTTATGGACGGATTAGTAATAATATTACTACCATATATAACATAAAAAATACCCCTTTTTGTCCATTTAAAATTTTTATCGTAGTAATTAAAAAAATAATTAAATGACTTAAATTATAACAAAAATACTTCTAAAATCAATACTTTTTAATCTTTTCAAGGCATAAATAATTTTGGACATGGTTTAGATTAGACGTTTTACATGGTAATACAAGCTTTTTTTTTTTTTTTTTTTTTAATAAAATCAGGAAATTTGAAATCACTTCCTTTACAAGTTGCCTTTTACCTGTTAGTGTTTATTGCCCTAATTCGCGTACAAGAATCGTAGCGATATATCCGCCAAATCCAAAAACCACATTCGGTCTTTTGTGATTCGAGACCAGCCGATTAAAGTGAGAGGAAATTTTAATAACAAGTAAGCAATCTTTATACACAGACAATTTGCTTTCTCACCCTAGAAGGTAAATGCAAGTCTCTTAGTCCAATGAAGGAGGGAAGCTTGGCTTCAAGTCTGGGTGTGTGAGCGGTCAGGATGAACCTGAGAGGATTCATTATAGCTATCTTAGTACTATTTTCTTTTCTTCAATAAATAGAAGTATAGTTATGTCTCGACATAATATTAAGCTTGTATGCTCTTATATAACTACATGTGGCCTATAAATTCTATTCAAGCAGCGTGTAGTTCTATAGAGCAATCAATTTCGTTCCCTCCACCCAAGGTGGGTACCATGGGACAGCCACAGTTGAGTAAAGTTACAAGGTATGATATCGTTAAGAATTACGATTGCTCAAAACTATACGTTCATGCTCTTTGTCGATAGTTACCCTTTATCGCCTACTCAATAAGTAGAAGTGCAGTGTCAGGTGCCCTACGATTATACGAGTGCACACCATTCAGAATTAAAGCTCTTGCATAGTGTTTATGTAGGCTCCAGCCACCCTAAACCAAAGGAGAAAAGCGTGTTCTTGCCAGAAGGATTAAATTGTCTCGAGCAATATATCCCTTCCTAACGTCTTTCCTTCCTGGTTCATCAAAATTATTTCCTAAGTTGATGTACCAACCATATCAACTGCAAGAAAAAAATGTGATTACTTTGTTTTCCCTACCCCTTAATCCCCAGAGATCGACCGAATGTTACCCCTCTCTTACTCAATAAATCCTCTTGTGTGTAGGTCTGATTAGTGTCCTGTAAGTTTCAATGATGGATATATTCCCCGCATAAAAGATCAGACGATTTAAGTATGCATTATAGCGTCATGTTCCATAATTTGGATCCTTGACGCTTTCACCGATCCCATACCTATGCATAGAGTTATTAAATGTTACCAAACGTGTTCACTAAAACTAGAGCGATTACTAGATTTCTATCGCCTTAGCTTTCCTAAAGACTTCCAGCATTAATTATAGGCGCTTTAGTCCAAAAGTATTATTATCAAATATGTCTCCCATGAATATTTAGTGGTGATAGCCATTGGGGCCAGAATGACTGATATAAGAGAGACTCGCGCTGGATCCCTTGACATTTACGTGTGTACACCACCGTAATGTTACTGTTAGAAACGTGTGCAACATTCAGACTATTCAGGTTTATACAGTCTGCCGCACAAATATTCTTGAGTTGTGGTGAGGATGAATAATGTGCCTGCCGGTCGTAGAATTCAAACTCATGCCACTTGCAAAGGTACAGTATTGTATACTCTTCTTCAAGGATTTACCTATGAATGACAAGATGCAGAAGTCATATGATTCTTGGTAATGTGGCGGGAATATGGCTGTCGAAGAGGAGGACTAATTTCTTTATCATTTAGGGTAGAATTTCTGAATTGTTTCGATTTTCAAAATAACATAAAAGGTTTTCTATTATAGAGAAGAAGGCACGCTAATCGTGCGAATTAATAGGGGAAGATCGCATCTTTAACTATTGAGAAGGGATGTTAGAGGACTCCCTCTAATGGTTTTACCCAGATTACAGATTCCGCGAGAAGAAAGTGAATGAATATTCGAGAGTGAAAAGGTGGACATATAATGGAATCATACGTTAGCGGTGGAGCTTTTTGTTTTGTAAAAGCTCACCAGAATAATGTGTTGAGGAGAAATGTAGTCCGAAATGCTGTATTATTGCTTGCGGCACCCACAAGATCACGTAGCAAGAGGTGCAAATACTCCCGTATATAGTGTGACCTCTTATAGCAAACTTGTGTCCGCACAAAGAATGAAGCGAGATACGATGATAGGAGCCTTTTTCTCGTTCTAGCGCTGTTCTCGGGTCTTTTCTTGTTTCTCTTTTCGGTTAGGGCGGTTGTCCTCCAATTGCTGTGTTTTCCAGTCTCCTTCAAGGGTGTATTGGCGTTTTGGTGACGTCTTGTGCTATCGGTTTGGTAGGATTGGTGTGCATCTCTCTCTTGACTCATTCGGCATTGCAGGTAAAACGTTTACCCTTGAAGGTCTTTCGACTGCCAAATCATGAGTTTGCCCCAAAACAGTTCTGCGTCTTTTCTTTCGCACTTCTTGTTCAAATTTCCATGAGTGTTGTGCTTTTGAGTCTTTGCAGCTGTTGGACCATTATTATATTCTATAGTTCTCTGTTTCGTGTCATGAAATCCATGGGTGTGAATTTGATGCACTTCTTTCTTCTCTCTCTTTATGTTAAACTCAAAACTCACTAATAAAAGATTTGTCTTTGAAGACAAGCAAACAAAAACCGATACATACCAGAGAGCCAAAGTAAGGAGGTATGTAAATCCATGAATAAACTTAACGTTATTCAATGAGCAAAGAACAAGGATTAAAAGAATAGTACTTCTCTAGGACTGGGTAGCTCCTGATCTTTCAAATAAGTAGTCCTGTTTTATAGAAATCACCTCGGGAGTTAGAGTCCTATACTTGTATTCTTGAGGTATCTTCTCGTGTCTTTATATTTGATTATCTCAAGATTAATCCACCTCTGGTGTTCTTTGCATTATGCTGTTAATGTCCATTCTCCAAATAATTGTGGAAGGGAATTCTCTTCCTCGTGTTTCGAGTTTATCCTATAATGCATTGTTTTAGCACTTTGATAGATTAAATACAACACTGGTAAGCGTCCCCAGAGTTCCGGAATCGTGCTTCCTTGAAAAAGAAAAATTAAAGGAAACAAAGCCAAAACAAAATTACTTGAACAAGCATGATCTTGTTCACACATTCTGGCCATTTACTATTTCTGCCAGAGGAATCGTTGAAAATTTTTTCTCCTTATACATCTGTCCCACATTCATGGCGTGTTTATAGCTCAATGTATATATTGAATAGTTTTTACATGAATCCCTTATTAGATGGCTTATATATGTTGCAAGAAAAGTTTAACCAAAATATTCTAAGCTTTTTCGTTCGAGGCCTCATTGTATGAGCGGTTCATACCTCTTTTTGGCATCATTATGTTTTGTCCCTTTTGGATGATGGCATCAATCTCATAAATCCCAACAGTCTTTTTTTCTTCAGAGCGCTTTGATAGATGGCTAGGCTGGCCATTTTCTTCTATCAAAGGTTTAATTATAGCCCCTACAACGGGTATCGATCTCTTGTTCTTGGCTACAGAAGGAGAACTCCTCCTTGCAATGTGGTCAAGTTCCAGAAGTGTATGTACGTTAAAATTATGTCTAAAGGTGATCTTAAAGGTTGACACAATTTCGAAAAGTTAATCAATACGGGAGAAAAGTTTGGAGCCTGAGTCCGATAAAGGACCACACATGCCTATCATATTCCTTCTTGAGGGCGGAAGACCTTTTTAGTCATACTCTGAATGTTGACCAGAGAGCACTAATGATCCCAACAAATGTTACTCCTTTAGTGATGTCATTTCCTCATCTCATTCACTGAGAAGCCCCTCATACAAGCTGTCGTTGATCCTGATATGAACGCCCAAATATGAGATCACAATAATTACATCATATATTAACATAATAGTTGTTATAAGGTTGTATTGTTTTTAGTAATGATGATTACACAGTGATATTGATATAGGGCACAAGAAAGTATAACTTTCTTGTTTTTGCCCTAACTCTGCTGGTTCCCAAAAAAGTGGTTCTTATATTATATTTTTGAGGCGCTTTCCCTTGCTTAAGGTCTAAGTGTTAAACTAAGTAAATTTTTGAGTTAACCATATGATCAAAAGTGGCTTTGTCGTCTTAAGTGTTATAGAGAAATATAAAAGGAAGCATTTGTTGTAGAAAGATGTTTTACATATAATTTTTAATCTCTCTCGAGGCAGTACTATTGCGTTAGACCAATTAGAAACACCAATATTTTGTTTGGTATTGAAATTAAGATTTCTAGCAGTTTCATTCAAATTTCGGCCTAAAGCAGTAAAATTTTTGACATGTGATATGAGTGCTATACTGTATAATGGAATTAGATTTTTCTTCAACAGTGAGGGGGTAGATGTCTTACACTCAATATTCTTTTGAGTAATATATGAACTCTAATGTTTTGTTACGAAACAAGGAAAACTTATAAGTTCGATTTTTAGTATTGGAAGATCTTTTTTGTGTCTACAAAAATATATATAACAAGTTAAAATATTCTTGCACAATTCTAACAGACTTCTTGAGTCTATGTGATGTCGTTTTTTTTCTATGATGTAGTATTTGCGAAGTGTAAGCTGATCCCTTATTTAAGCAAGAAAATTTTGATGGTCAATATATTTAGATAAGAGGCGAGTTATTAAGTCTCTGCAATAAATTTTAAGGAGAGTTAATTATTTCATGAATCACCGTGCTCGGTAGCATGAAACATTTGGCCCGCTGTTGTAATAATGCGGAGCTTTGGAGGACGTTTGCATATTATGGACGAGGCAAAGATATTAGTAATTTAAATATTACTACCATATAAACATAAAAAATGACCCCTTTTTTAGTCCAATTGGGTAAGTTTGAAAGAGAATTTAAGTTCCGTCTTTCAATCGGGTAATTTGGTTTGTGTTATATTAATACGGATCTGAGAGGGTTCTGTAGTAGTAAATCCCTTAACCTTGATTCTGCGATCTTTTTTCCTTACTGTCAGGTTTTTTCTATTTCTGGATCAATGATATCAGAGGGTTACAAACTGTAATCATTCTAGATACCTTTCTCTTTGGCATAAAAAATCAAAGCCTTACGCATTGTATTGTGTGATTTCTTTTTACATAGCCGAATGGCATAATAATTTTGGACATGGTTTATTAATAAGATGTACGTAAAAAGATACGTGTGGTACAATATAGTAAATAGCAAGAACTTGTGGTTCTTTTTTTATTATATATATACTTAAAGAGCTTTTCTATGAACCCTTCGTATCTAATTGGGAATTTATTGGTATTTGGTGCTCCCAATCGGGTTATCTTCTTTCCATTATTCTGGCATAGTTCATTACAGGAACAACAGAGCAAGGTACCAGACTATAAGAATCTGTTGTTCACAGCTTATTTTCGCGATCAGTGGTACGAAATCGCTACAAGTATATAGAGTGAGTACGTGCAATAAGATAATAAGAGATATCCAAACAGGGATATGTTTTATAAGGTTTTAATCCCAAAAGTTACCCGAAAAAGTTTGAATTATTTATGTGTATCTTGTTATTATATTAACACGCAAATAGTGCGTGAAAATCAAGAAATAGAGTGTAAATCCAATGTTTATGATGAGAATATTATTGAAAGAGTTGCCAAACAAGTAAAACATGAAATAAGAAGTTTGACCAGGCAATAGTCAAATTTGAACTTAATTTAAAAGATAATCTAAGATATAGGTTACTAAACTTATCGAGGGTGTTGGTCATATTTGATTTTGTGCAATCTGGTAACTCTTATACACCTCAAAATTACTAAATAATTTGTTTTTTTTTTCTTATTTAGTATTCTTACGTGTGTAATACAAATGTTGGTTTATATTAGACTTTCTATGTAAAATATATTATCAATAGTGAATAAGGGGAAAACAAAACCACAAAAAAATCACAACATTATCAAGCGTATCCTCCCGTAGTTGTATTGTATCCAGCTATTTTAATAACCCCGGTTTCTTATGTAAATTTACCCTATATCTTTCTCAATTCCGTTTATAGCGTCAAAAATCATATCTAGATCATGGTTGATAGTATTCTAATAATCTTTAAAGTATTTACGAGATTTTGTTATTTGTTGAATTTACAATTAAACACTTGAAATATGTGTTCTCTCACTTAACTTATGACAAGATCATCTCCTCCCGATCAATGAGTCAATAAATCTCTATAATAACGCTTCACGAACAATATTAACCACAAAATTAGTAATTCTAGCTAATTTTCGTAGTTTATATAAATTTATACCTTTCATATTCTATCCAAAATCTGCAGCATCCTATCTGTCCGATTTAGTACGTAATAAATCTCTGAGAAAATTTAAAATACAATCTAGGGGTAAAAATAATCGGCAGTCTGGTAGAAAAGCAATATATAAGAGTGCATTAAACTATAATTCGTATAATCTGTTGTAATTTAAGAGGAAAAAGCATAGTTTAATGCTAATATGGACGTCATTAATTATTGTGACGAAATAGTATAAAAGGTAGTAGATTAAGGAGTACTATCAGTGGTCAGACCTTTTTTTTTTTTTTTTTTCTTACCCATCTAGTGATTTTGTCCGGTATCTTTTATTATTTGGATAGTCATACAGAAAGAAGTACAGATTTCGTCCTCAATAGAAAGAAAAAATTTAAAGGTAATCAAATCGAACTTGTAGAAAAACCATAGCGACAAATAGTTACCAAGTGATGAAGCAAACGATTGCCTATGACATAAATATTATATTTTGTCAATTTGATCGTATACTTCAAATCAAAATTGTTTTTTTTTTTTTATTCGTTGTATAAGTGGTTTATTATTAGACTTTCTATGTAAAAATATAAAAACATATTGATCTGTATCCAATATTTATATACAATTTTTCCTTAATAAAATTTCTAGTTTGATTTCTTCTAAAAAAATAAATTGAATTTTCACGATCTTTGATATATTACCAAAATTAAAAAGAAGTATTCATATATAATTATTCTTCTGCCACTAACAAGATTAAAATAAAGCATGAAACTTTAATTTTAAAGCATTGAAGGATCTTTGGAAATGTAAAGTATAGCTATGGTGATTGTGGAAGCTAAGAACCTATTCCCTACCTAACTTCTTACTCAAACTTACATTAACTTGTAGTATTTGTTAAATGTGAGTATGTGAGTATGCCCTCATAGCATATAATTGAACCAACATGGATATAAGATTATTTATATAAAATCAAACAATTTTTAGAAATGGCCCAGAGCTCTAGGACATGACCCTTGGGAATTCCCCACTTTGGAATCTTTACACATTTTGTTTTGTCAAAGCCTAAATAAAAATTTCCAACAATATTAGCTTTTTCTATGGACAAAACATGAGGGATTCCTTTCTTCTGGATTCAAATTAATTAATATAACATTGCCTTTAATGTTTATTGCCATTGTTTATTAGTAGTCAATGACTTCAAACTACTAGAATATAAACTTACAAATTACAAGAGTCCAGGACATTGTTAAGTTGGGCTGAGCTGATCTTATATGGGCCCTTTGTTTTAGATCCAGCTGGTTCTCTACTGCTCTCTCTTCTTCGCTCACCATCGCTGTCTGGCCTGCTTAATTTCTTCTCTGTTTTTGTTCATTGATGACGATCCTATAATCATAAACGACCGTATAATTTGAAAGAACAGGAAGCGTGTATGGCTTCGTCGGCCATTGTTGATAGCTTATGCTCCATTCCACTCTCCTACTCTCCAAAACGTTGCAAATTCCAAACCCTAACTCTCAATTCACAGTTTCTTTTCTCTAATTCCTTTCTACGACTGAAGAATCAGCCTCTACTTCCAAAATTGCAAATTCTGAGGTCCAAACCGCGCAATCCCAGGTCTCTTCCGGTTGTCTTTGCCGCACAGTTTAATTTCGTTAAAGGTATGACATTTTGGGGCTTTAATTTTACTTCTTTTTGGTTTTGAGCTCGTTTTTGTCTACTTGAATTGTTTTGGTTTTTTGATTCCCAGTGTTTGTGACATTACGAAATTCCATGATTGGTTTGGTTAATAATTGTATTTAGATGTTTATTTGTTATTACTTTAAAATTTCAGCTGATTGGTGTTTCAAAATTTGTAATTTTCAGATTTAATTGTTAATTTTTGGTGGTTTTTGATGGTTTACTGGTTAGGATTGCTGCTAAGTTAAGCAACATACAAAAAAGAGCGGTGTGTTTTGCATTACTAATGGGTATTTGGATTCTGCAATATAGTTGTTCAAACAGTATTGAAGGTTGGAAAAGATGGCATTGAGGCAGGAACAAATCTGGTGCCTGTAAGTTCAATTTGGCTCCTTTCTTTAATTGATTTCTTTCTTGGGATGATTTAAACGATATATATGCATTTCTTTTACCGTTTGTTGCTAGGACTCTGTACCAAGACCAATTGCAAGGATCTCTGTGACAATTGCTGCACTGACCATTTCACTCTTTGTGCTCAAGTCATTTCTGTCTACAGCTTTATTTGCACTGGTATGTTTTGCTGTTTTATTCTATTTGCAAGAATCAATCTGTAATAGTTCAAAAATTATCAACCATAATTCATGGATGTAAGAATGGAAAATCAATTGCCTCCTCTGCCCATGTAATGCGCATCTTCATCTTTCATGCACCTGCTCAGGAAGGATTTAATGAACTTTGTACATAGATCTGCATTCTTGTTAAACTTGAGAGTAGACGTTAGTTTTAATTAATGAATCTTATTTATTTATTTTATGGTAAGTAGTTGCTTTCTGTTTGATGCTCAGGCCACAATGGGGTTCGTATATTTCATCTTCATCGCCTTGAACAAAGATCAAGGGCCAAGAGATGGTGGAGGTGGAAATTCGTCCGATGACCCATTAGAAGAAGCAAGAAGAATAATGGAGAAATACAAGTAATAGCAGCAGGAATGATCAATTTCCATGTTTTATGCATGCCTTATAGTTATTTTTTAAAATATTATCGGATAGAAGATATAATCAGTAGATGGAAATTTCTTATTAGAGAAGGAGAAATTATACAATAGTTTCATATTTATGTCAAATTATTTCTCAAGTGCCATACTTTTTTTATTATTTATCATAAGGTTCACAACAATAGAAACTACTCTTCCATGTTAATAATGCACCTCAAGCCTTCCCCTTTCAGCATCAAGTCAAAAGCCTTATTGATGTCAGAAAAAGGAACCCTATGAGTTATAAACTTGTCCAATTCCAGTTTCTGCAGCAAATTTAATCCAGTGTAATTCATGGGTTAATGGTTAGTGAAATATAAGAACATATATAAAAAACCTACAATTACAAGAAGCTATAACATATAAGATCACCTTGTTCATATACATGTCAACAACAGATGGGAGATCGGTTCGCGGTTTATAGTTCCCAAAGAAAGTTCCTTTTAGAGTTCTTTCATTAAGCAAATTGATTGGCTTGGTCATAAAAACTGCTTCTTTGTTCGGTACCCCGACGAGCACAGCCACCCCCCATCCCTACATGGTCATGCAAATTCCATATTATTCTGCTATAAATCTGTTAAATGACATACAAAATATTAAGACTGCTGATTCTTACTAACGGTGAATAGGCTTTTATGACTACAATATGTGAATTTCACTTTAAAAGTAAACTTTAATTACCTCTAACAACATTTTAGGCATGGTACTTTTATCAATTAAACTCAAACTACAATGCCAAGTAGAACTATGAATAAGAAGACTTTTAGTTTAGGTCATTGCTTAAAAATTGAAAAGCTTACATCATGAACACATTCAAAAGCTGCAACCATGGCGTCAATGTGCCCTGTGCACTCCACACTCCTGTCTACTCCACCATTTGTCATCTCTGCAATTATCTGTTGAACTGGACGGTCATGATCCTTCGGGTTCACAAATTCAGTTACTCCAAACTTCTTGGCTGAGTTACGAAAAATATCAGTTACACCTATATTGATCATATTTGTATTAAACTAAGTAGCAGATGGGATTTGTTAATACAAGAACATTCTACCTTCTTCAAACCTCTTTGGGTTCAAATCCACCCCAATGATCCTAGATGCTCCAGCAATTCTTGCACCTTCTGCAGCCTAAGCAGATTTAAAGGAACATAAGGAGAAAATTTCTAATTTGTTGATTAATGTAACCTCTAACCTGTTACAAAATGAACAAATTGCTATGAAGCTCTGCATAGAACTTACTGCTAGGCCTACAGCTCCTAATCCGAAAACAGCAACTGAGGAACCTTTCTTTGGTTTAGCCACATTCAATGTCGCACCAAGTCCTGATGTGAAATTAGGAAAGATTTTTTCTTTTCAGAATCCTATTTGAGATTAAAAGGGGAGAAAAGTTGAGGATTTAGCTATTAGCGAAGAAGTGAAAGCACAACCTGTTGAGATACCACAACTAAGAATGCAGACTTTATCCAAAGGAGCTAAGGGATTGATCTTTGCAAGAGATCCTCTATGAACAACTGTGTATTCACTAAATGTAGAAGTGCCAACAAAATGGTTTATTGGCACCCCATCAATCGAGAACCGAGACTTTCCATCATTAAGCATGAAACCCCTATCAGTGTTTATTCTCAGCAAGTCACACATGTTACTCTCCTCAGACTTACAGTGCTCACATTCTCCACATTCCCCAGTAAATACTGGAAGAACATGATCCCCAGCCTCGAGGTCTGTTACGCCTCCCCCGACACTCTCTACAATTCTGCGAGGATAATCGAAATAATGGAAGCATTTTAAGGCTTGTAACATTGGAACATAATTATACACATATAATGGAAGTTAATTATTTACTACGTTTGAAACACTAATGACTTGAGAAACTAAAATAAGATTCAATTTTAATGACTTTTTAGGATTATAAATATATAATCTTTGTTTACCTGCATAGTATATAGTTCGAAGCAGAGATTTAGATTATTAGATATAGATTTACAGCTTTAAGAATTATAAAACAAAACTTTATCAAAAGAAGAGATAAGAAAGAAAGAATCACTTATGCCACAGTCTTGTAAACTTGTAAAGAAGAGGAGAAACATACCCAGATGCTTCATGTCCAAATATACGAGGAAACAGTGGCGTCTGACCCTGAAAGTTAAGACCCAAAATTCAAAATTTTGAATTAATTCATAACAAATAATAGTTTAAGAAAGTATTAGACCATATATTATACCTTGGCTTCCCAGAAGTAGAGATCAGTATGGCAAAGAGAAGTATATTTAATTTTGATCCTCACTTCCAAGGCCTGCGGTGGAGCTACCTCCACTTGCTCGATCACCAATGGCTTGCCTGCCTCCCATGCCACCGCAGCTATAAAATATGCATAAACACAAACATAACATTCTTTAAAAACTAAACAATACCCAAGTCAAGAAATGAGTAAAAAAAAAAACCCATATATAAAAAGAAAGGATTTAAGTCAAGAAATCTGAAACAGCCAGTAACTAGTAATATTCTTAATAAATTAAAGACCTTTGCAGGGAATAACAAGACCAGCAGTGCTTGACATGGCTGATTCAATTGGAGAATAATGGATGGAACGAGCTTTGCTTGTTTTAAAACTCAAATAAGAGACTCTAATAGGAGGAAAATGAGTGCCAAAGCTCTGTTTTTGCAGCTTATTAATAAAGTATGGCGTTAAAGCTTTTAGCCTGTGACACGTGCACATAGTCATATGGAAACAATAATTCAAAACAAAAGTACGGATTTTATTTTTTTTGTTTTTTTTCTCAACCCCAATAATCAAAACCAATGAATGAGTGCCTCAATGTCAAAGCTCATCTTAGGCAGCTGCTTAATAAAAATCAAAGAATCTGAACATTTTTGTCAAAAAAACCATGAACTAATGGCACCCAGGAAAGAGATCTTTTGGGTGGCAAGTTGGCAACATGGCTGTGGTTTTGGACTTCATTTCACCTGGTTTTTCTTCTCCTGTTGCTTGATTCTGCTGCGTCCTATTAAATAACTTTTCCAATTCTCAATTCATGTTTAAGCTTCGTTAGAGTTGAAATTCATATCTCACTAACAATTTTTGTTTATTATATAATCAAGAGGTGTAATCTTTTCTAAGCTTTTAGAGATTAAAGGTTTTTTCTCCATCAACAAAATGTATTTCCCGTAAATTGAAAAGGTGGCTCACCGTAAGTGCTGGTTATCTTACTAACAATTTATTTTTTTTGAAAATTAAATTGAAAGTATATTTAATATATTTAGATTTCTTGTTTTTGGTAAATCAACTCTAGACCTCATCCATTATTCATTCCTAAAAGAATAGTTATATATTCTCTTTATTTCACTTTGTATTGATGCTAAGAGTTACCATGACGAAAGATGATGAATATTATGCAGGCATGCTTTCATTTGCTAATTAAAATTATTAGATTTAGTTTCATTTTCTTTAAAAAAATTGAAAAAAGTTAAATTCGTTTCAGTATTTAAAAATATTTAAAAGTCAAGAAAGTCAAAAAATGAATCGAATGAAGTGAGCTAAACTAATTAATTTCAGTTTAATTCTATACACAATTTTATTTTATTTGATTTCTTTTAAAAAAATTTAGTTTATTCAATTTGAACCGAATTATTAAATATCTACTCTCAAGTTTAAATTGAATAGGCTAATTTTCTGAATCTATATGGGTTTATATATTTGTATTAAGCATATTATTAATGAGCTGGCAAGTTAATTCATGATGTGATACAATTATTTTCGGGTTATAATTGTGTTTGCTCGAGTTATTTACTTTACGTTTATAGTTGAACGACATAAGCTAAAGATGCACTCCAACGCCTTACTTATAGAAAATGATAGGAACGCTTCATGCATTTCATCTGGGTCATCCGACGACAGGTCGCTTAAAATACAGTTAGAAGTTGACGCAGCATAGTTTTATTGGTGGAAAATCCAGCCATAACTGAAAATCAGTTTCCTCCATCTCAAAAAGAAATCTATATAGTATATTGCATACATTATCCATTCAATTTACGAGCCAATGAACTTAATATGTGAACCGACCACCGCAACTCGACCAACTCACCCTTCTTCACTCTTCCCACAAATTGCAAGATGCAAATCCATCAAACAACTGAAACAAATTCACGCCCACTTCATCAAAACTGGCCTTATCGGCGATCCTCTAGCTGCAGCCGAAATTCTGAAATTTCTGTCCGTCTCCGACCGCCGGGACCTCAAATACGCCCGTAAGTTTTTTACCCAAATGAATAATCCCAATTGCTTTTCTTGGAACACAATCATCAGAGCTTTTGCCGAAACTGATGATGATGATTACAAGAACCCATTAGAGGCATTGGGTTTTTTTGGTCAGATGTGCAGTGAAGGTCTTGTAGAACCCAATAGATTCACTTTCCCTTCTGTTTTAAAAGCATGTGCTAAAATGGGAAGGATTCAAGAAGGAAAAGAGATTCATGGGTTTGTTGTTAAATTAGGATTGGATAATGATGAATTTGTTGCTAGCAATCTTGTTAGAATGTACGCCATGTGTGGAGTTATGGAGGATGCTTATTTATTGTTCAGTAATTATGTTTCTCATTTTGATAATAATTCCACTAAATTAGTGAGAAATAAGAGAATGCAAGAGGGTGTTGTTGTCTTATGGAATGTGATGATCGATGGATTTGTAAGGCTTGGCGACATTGGAGCTTCCAGGAAGTTGTTCAATAAAATGCCTCAAAGAAGTGTTGTGTCATGGAATGTAATGATTTCGGGGTATGCACAAAATGGGTTTTTTAAGGAGGCAATGGATGTCTTTCATGATATGCAAATGGGAGATGTGTCCCCAAATTATATCACTTTGGTTAGTGTTCTTCCTGCTATTTCGCGCTTGGGTGCACTAGAATTAGGTAAATGGGTGCATTTGTATGCAGAGAAGAATGAAATTGAGATTGATGATGTGCTTGGTTCTGCTGTAATTGATATGTATGCAAAGTGTGGGAGCGTTGAGAAGGCAATTCAAGTATTTGAAAAGATAGAAAATAAAAAGAATGCTATTACTTGGAGTGCTATAATTGGTGGGCTTGCCATGCACGGTCGAGCAAATGATGCTCTTGATTATTACAGAAAGATGCAACAAGCAGGTGTAACTCCTACTGATGTTGTGTATATCGGTTTATTGAGTGCTTGTAGCCATGCTGGTTTAATTGAAGAGGGTCGTTCATTATTCAATCATATGGTTAAGGTTGTTGGTATAGAACCTAGGGTCGAACATTATGGATGCATGGTTGATCTTCTAGGTCGTGCTGGGCTTTTGGAAGAAGCTGAACAACTTGTCCTAAACATGCCTATTCGACCGGATGATGTAATATGGAAAGCATTACTTGGTGCTTGTAAAATGCATGGAAACGTAAAGATGGGTGAACGTGTTGCAAGGACTTTGATGAAGTTGTTTCCACATGACAGTGGATCTTATGTAGCTCTCTCCAATATATTTGCCTCTAGGGGAAATTGGGTTGGAGTTGTAGAAGTAAGGCTAAAAATGAAGGAAATGGATGTAAGGAAAGATCCCGGTTGTAGTTGGATTGAGATTGATGGGGTGATTCATGAATTCCTAGTAGAAGATGAATCCCATCCTAGAGCAAAAGAAATCCGTTCAATGTTGGAGGAAATTTCGAACCGAATAAGATCTGCAGGTTACAGGCCGAATATTACACAAGTCTTGCTCAATATGGATGAAGAAAAAAAAGAAAGTGCATTACACTATCATAGTGAGAGGATTGCTATTGCCTTTGGTTTAATCAGTACAAGACCCCAAACACCACTCCGGATTGTTAAGAACCTTCGTGTTTGTGAAGATTGTCACTCTTCGATTAAGCTAATTTCAGAGATATATAAGCGTAAGATTATTGTTAGGGACCGGAAGCGTTTCCACCATTTTGAGAAAGGAGTATGTTCTTGTATGGACTATTGGTAGCTTCTTGTCTTGCCTCTTTTCATTGGCAGGGTTTATAGATTTACCACAAGTTTGTTTGTAGATTTACCACAATATTTTCCTGGTAGTGTACTTGGTCCAGATGCTATTGCCTCCAGAATTGCCAACTTGCCCAATTAAGGCCAGCTTCTCAGCTTCCAGCCCGGCCCTTTATAGAGCTAGCCTAGCTTATTCACCCAAATTATTGCCATAATCCAAAATTTGAAATGGCCAAGGCCCAATTGTCTGTTTTTGGCAATAATTTTTTAAAGCAGGTTTTAGCATTTATTTTAAATTAATTTCGAGAGATTAAAGTAGCGTTTTATAAAATATTAATCCCTTAACGTTTAATTTTTTAATATTTTATAAAAAGCTAACTACTAAAAACCGCTGCGAAAACATTTAATTTTTTCAAACAGATTGTAAGTACCACAATGATAATGTTATGGAATTTCCTGGAATATTACCTTTCGGTTATGGCAAATAGCCAAATATTATACGGCTGGGATTAGGACTGGGACTGCTTTTCCACCGAAGTCTTGTCGATGCTTTTGTTATATCTTTAAAATGATGAATGTCTTTGTAGGTGCCAAAACTAAGAAAGTAATGATAGTTTCTTTGTATCATGCCAAACAAAGTTCCATGCAACAATAAGAAAATTCCAGTTGGTTTTGTAATCCTCAGTGTAGATAATAATTACTTTATAACTTCAGGTGGATTTGTTTTCAAATCCCATGTTGCTACTCAACTCTTTCTTTTTAAAATCTTTTGATGAATTTAGGAAAAATTTCCATTAAAATACTGTAAAATTATGTGGAAATTATTGTACATTTATTTGAAATTTTCACATCAAAACATATGGAATTTCTCGGCACACGATTTTCTACATTTAAATAAAGGGTGGTATTCAAGTAAAATCTGAAAAGATAATATTTCCCGGATATATTCCACAATAATAATAATAATGACGAAAATATTAATATAATTGATTTTAGATTTTTTTTATGGAAGATTAAATAAATTATAAGACATTTTCACCTTAGTTTGAAAATTATAATAATGGGATGTAAAAGGATCTTTTGACACTATTAATGATTTAGTAAAATGATTAGAGAAGATTAATTAGGGTTAGAGTGGCGTGAGGTATAACAGTGAAAATGGCAAACACAAACATGCCATATCCTACCTAAACACCCACTATAATTCCATTATAATTAAAAATTCAACCACTTGCCCTATATTCCCATGGTATGTCCTTAAAAAAACAAGGACTATTCTTTTTATGCACAGGGCCAGGGCCATATAGGCTTTCCCTTAAAAAGGGCATAATTGCCATAGGAGGTCCCATAGAAGAACAAAAATAAAAAATTATTCCCAATTATATATATTCCAAAGTGAATTTGTTTTTGTCTCTCTCATTGCACTTTCAAAATTATTACAATTTTATATAAAAGGAATTATTTCTTCCTAGAAATTATAATTTTAGCAAAAAATAATTTTTTCAAGGAAAAGCAAATATCCATATTTGAGATTCAAGATAAAGTAAATATTTACATGTTACTAATTCTGGAATTAATAGTTAAATTCTAAAATTTTGAATTTAAAAACCATATATGAAATTAGGAATATTGGTTACTTATTTATTTTACATGGAAAGTAGGAATGCTTTTTGACTTTGTATAACAGGAAATGTAAGGTGAAGCAGTACAAAGTACAAACTATTTTTAAAAAAATAATAATAATAATTTATTAATAATGAATATAAATTAAGTACGTCATAATATTTCTATAGGAATAAGAAATACAAATATAAAAAATTGAAATCTTCTGTTTGGAGATGTTCTTAATTTTGGCAGAAGATATTAATATTCCGGGTAAAAATTGGTCCATTTTTAAATAGGACGATAAAAGAAACCATCCACAATGTCCCGAACATTGTTTTTTCGAAAACTTATTACAACTGACACTCTGAGAAGAGTTTAATACATCAAATTTTAATGGAGGAACATGCCCTACCAGGCTCCATTGATAAAAAAAAAAAAAATCTGAATTTGAAGATCTAAACTCTCCAACCACAAACAATCAACCATCCATCATGTCTTTCGAACTGTCCAAGAAATAAAATATCTATATAAAAACTCTTCAATACAGAGGAACAATCCCATGAAATGAGAGAAACTAATAACCCCACTAAAATGGTACAAAAAATACTCAAAATTTATTATTTGAGAGACTAAATTCAAATTTCATTCCAAACGATCGTAGATTTGAAAATTATTAAAAAGAAAACTAAATAAAATAAAGAAAAACGAGAAAGGGATGGAAAGAAATTAACGCCGATCAAAACAGATAGTTAGCGGTGGTTTAGAAACAAAATCTAACAAAAAAAAAAAAAAAAAAAAATTATTGTATAATCTATAATATTAACGCGATCCATTTGATTATAATTAAAAAAAACTAAGTTTTGAAAATAGTTTTAATAATTAGCATTATTGTATAATCCAAAAATATGTAGAATTATCCATAATTATTAGTTGACACTAATACCCATAGTTTAAATGCTCAAATAAAATGAGTAAAAAAAAGACAACATTGGAAAGTTTGGGGAGCTAAGCTAAGTTTTGAAGGTATCATACAAATAAATATATTAATTAATTAATTAATTAATTTTTTTTTTTAGAAAAACAAAGAAGTAAACTTTTTGAACATGTTATCCTGTGGCCCCACTTTATGTCTAAGCAGTAGACATAGATTCACCTTTTTCTTTTCCTTCATGAGTTTTGCTTTTGTACTCTGACCCACAGGCATATGGGTCCCAGTCACAATTCGATATTTTTCCGTGTACTCATCACCATCGTCAAATTCAAAAAACTCATTCAGCTTCTGTGAGTCAATGCTATTAGCTAAACGATCGTCACACGTGTAGGGCTATGAGCAAAGGAGCGGTAAACATATAATGGACCTGCGCATACATTTGATCCATGAAAGGACAAGACTTGGTGGCGTCCTGCGTAGCAATCTTTTGCGAAGAGTGCAAAGCAAAGGGGAAAAGATTTGCAAAAATGGGCAATTCCAAAGGATCAGAGCGTGCATTTCAATTATTATTAATTATTTAAATATTGTTAAATATAGAAACCAAGCACAATTATTTCTATATTTTATAGTTTCAACTTACCATGCAGGTGTAGTATTCTTGTACTTTAACGTGCAGCATTTTATAGTGTTTCCACCGTTGGATCATCTTACAGCTATTTGAATGATTATCTTTTAGATATCTCACGGTATTTATGAATTGAACCAGTAATGTAGGACAAGTGCATAAATTTTACAGTTCTAGAAATTTTTTTAATTTCTTAAAAAATATTTTGTAATATTATTAGATTAAAATTAAATAGTTTTCTCAGACTTTAAATGAATGTCAAATAATTCATTTACATTTAAAGTTTTTGTATTTTATATTTTAAATAAATAAAGTGAGCAAAGTGAGTGAGTTGCCATTTCAGTCAAGGTGATATAATGGAGAAAGAGTCATTAGACAAAACAATATCACTTATAGTCAACACTCAGTCAGTTTTCCCAAAAAGAAAAACCTCTCATAAAACTACACAAAGACCACATTGTTAAGTATCTCTCTGACTCTCCCTTTCTCTTTCTCTGCACCTTGTTACTTCATTCATGGCTGTTTTGAAACTATACTCTTCTTACATTTTCTGCACCTTCATTACCATATCCTTTACTACTGTTTCACTCACTCAATCCTCGTCCTTAAATCCTCCTCCTCCTCCTCCTCCTCCTTCTACAGATGTTGAACTTCTACTTGGAAAGATCAAAGCTTCACTACAAGGTAACACTGAAAATCTTTTACTTTCCTCATGGAACTCGTCTATTCCTCTTTGCCAATGGAGAGGTCTCAAATGGGTATTCTCCAATGGGTCCCCTCTTTCTTGTAGTGATCTTTCTGCACCAGAATGGACTAATCTTTCACTTTATAAAGACCCATCTTTGCACTTGTTATCCCTCCAGCTCCCATCTGCTAATCTTACTGGTTCACTTCCTAGAGAGCTTGGTGAGTTCTCTATGCTTCAAAGTTTGTATCTTAACATTAACTCATTAAGTGGAACAATCCCTCTCGAGCTTGGTTACAGTTCTTCACTTTCTGATATTGATTTGAGTTTTAATATGCTTAATGGGGTTCTAGCTCCATCAGTTTGGAATTTATGTGATAAATTAGTTTCTCTTAAGTTTCATTCTAATTCACTCTCTGGCTCTCTTCCTGAAACTGCATTGCCTGACTCTACTTGCAAGAATTTGCAATTTCTTGATCTGGGTAGCAATAAATTTTCAGGGAATTTCCCTGAATTTTTTACTCACTTTGAAGGGCTTAAGGAGCTTGATCTTTCTAATAATATGTTTTCAGGTTCAATTCCTCAGGGTTTAACTGTGTTAAAAAATCTTGAAAAATTGAATCTTTCACATAATAATTTTAGTGGGGTTTTGCCTGTTTTTGGTGAATCAAAATTTGGTGTAGAGGTTTTTGAAGGGAATGATCCTAGTCTTTGTGGGCTGCCTTTAAGAAGTTGTAATGGAAGTTCAAGATTGAGTTCAGGTGCAATAGCTGGTATTGTTATTGGTCTAATGACAGGAGTTGTAGTTTTGGCCTCATTGTTAATTGGGTATATGCAAAATAAGAAGAGAAAATGTAGGGAAGATAGTGAAGATGAATTAGAGGAAGGAGACGATGAAGAAAATGGTGGTGCTGGTGGCGGTGAAGGAAAGCTAATTTTGTTTCAAGGTGGTGAGCATTTGACATTAGAGGATGTTTTGAATGCAACAGGACAAGTAACGGAAAAGACTACTTATGGGACAGTTTATAAAGCAAAACTTGCTGATGGAGGCACGATTGCTTTGAGGTTGTTGAGGGAAGGTAGTTGCAAAGATAGGAGCTCTTGCTTACCTGTGATAAAGCAATTAGGGAAGATTCGGCATGAAAATTTGATTCCTTTGAGAGCTTTCTACCAGGGGAAGAGGGGAGAGAAGCTACTCATATATGACTATCTTCCAAGCAGAAATCTTTATGATCTCTTACATGGTATGCCTTCTTTTTCTTCTCTCTACATTTTGTTTATTTGTCGTTGTTATATATAAGGGGGAGAGAATAAGCTGACTCATATATGAGCTAATCTTCCAGCAGAAATCTTGTATGATCTTTAGCATGGTATGGCTTCTTTTTTCTTCTCTTCGTATCATTTTGTTTATTTGTCGTTGTTATACTAGTATATATTTTATATATATATTAAATCATTTGCTTGCTCGTCTCTGGGTTTTAGTTTAGGGTCCTTTATACTAATTGCGTTTGCCTCATTATTGAGTCACTAAAGGTAAGATTCTTAGCACATATATATTAAAATCATTGCTTGCTCTCTCTGGTTAAAGTAGGGTCCTTTTTATACTAATGCCTTTCCTCATTATTGAATCACTAAAGAGTTAAAATTTTAAGACAAATATCTGTTGCAATTCAAACACTTTAAATTGTGTTGTTCCTCGAAGCTCATAATAGAAAACGAAGACTATGTAATTCATATTGTGTGAATTGGGAATCAAATACATATTCTTTACTCTTGCTTTGTTGTCTTGTTAATTGCAGAAACAAAAGCAGGAAAACCAATACTGAACTGGGCTAGGCGGCACAAGATTGCATTGGGCGTAGCCAGGGGATTAGCATACCTTCATACCGGTCTTGAGACACCTATTACACATGGGAATGTGAGATCCAAAAATGTGCTTGTGGATGAATTTTTTGTTACTAGGCTTACAGAATTCGGGCTTGACAAGCTAATGGTCCCTTCTGTGGCTGATGAAATAGTGGCACTTGCAAAAACTGATGGGTATAAGGCACCAGAGCTTCAACGGATGAAGAAATGCAATTCTAGAACTGATGTGTACGCATTTGGAATACTTTTGCTCGAGATTTTGATCGGTAAAAAACCGGGGAAAAACGGGAGGAATGGTGAATTTGTGGATTTGCCTTCGATGGTGAAAGTGGCAGTTTTGGAGGAAACAACAATGGAGGTTTTTGATGTGGAAATTTTGAAAGGGATAAGGAATCCAATGGAAGAAGGGCTAGTTCAGGCACTGAAACTCGCAATGGGATGCTGTGCTCCAGTCCCTTCAGTCAGGCCTACTATGGATGAAGTTGTGAAGCAATTGGAAGAAAACAGACCAAGAAACAGGTCTGCTTTGTACAGTCCTACTGAAACAAGAAGCGAAATTGGTACCCCTTTTTAATTAAGCTAAGCTTTCTTTTTCAACCCAAAAATTAGCTCCTCCTATGTTTCAAAATTTACTGGTGATAGTAGTAGCTGTTGATTGTAATGTTACCTTCCTTGTATTTCCATATGAGAATTCATTTCTTTAGCATCTCTGTAATTCAAAACAATGCTTCCTTATAAAAAATATTACTGCCTAATTAGAGCTAGAAAACAAATTTTAATTTTCCGTCTCATATTTGTCCAGCTAGCAGCAATAAAAAATATCAACAACAATCAGAAGCATCAGTTTTAGATTGTATTAGCAGAAATTTAGATCGATATTTACGCAATGCTGGAGTTATTTTCTTCAGGATTTCATGTTGTGAGTTTGCTATTCCATGAAATTAATACGTGAAATTAATACAAGAAGCCGGCATCTCAAACCGGCATAGGGGACATTTATGGCTCAAACTCAGCCACTGATCAATGCAATGACTGTGGAATATATGCAAACAAGGCATGCGCTTTATCTGTGACAGAGCCTGAAACTCGTCTAAACAGATTGAACACTGACTAGGCGCATCAAGAACAAAATCTCCAAGTCTTCCTCGCTCCAAATTCGCTATCGAAGAGCAAGTTGCTGGAACTGTTCTTTGCCACCAATATACTGTTTTAAGTTGCATCTCCACATTTATCAGCAACTTATGATTACCTGAAGAAGAAGAAGAGTTTTTTCTTGCAATAATACGTGTCTGCATGACTATATTATTACCAATTCTCTGTTTATCATTAGAGTTGATACATAATGAAGCCAATAAGTCAGAAATCTTTGAATAAGCCTCTCCATCGTTGCTGCAACCAAGAAATTCTTCTGCATCAATGTGTACATTATCTGCAACGATCGGAACGGAATTGACTTCCATCAGGATGTCTGGTTCCCTCTTAAGTTTCTGATGGTGGGTAGATGCAGAACTGATACTGAAGGTGATAGTGGAGTTGCATCCATTATTAGCTTCGATCTTTTCATCCTCTATGATGAACAACAACAGTCGAGTTTCTCCAATGCGAAAAGGCATATTGTCAAGAAGGTTGAAAGAAAGGATCTTGATCTTGTTCTTGTCAGGTTTGGCAATGGTCGTAGATGGTTGAGTGGAGGACAAGGAATGGGTTGTTCTTGTATAGATACACTTGAAGATTCTGAAAGGTCTCGTAATCCATAAATATAAAGAATTTGATTAGAGGAAATTTCTTGAGGGCGTTAGAGGTAACCGAATGCTAATTGGAGTAGGACTTTCTTATTAATTTTCAATACTTTTTTAATTTACTTTTTTAATTTCTAAGACAAAATCGAATCTAGAGGGACAAATGAAGAGTTCATTAGTCAAAATGACTCTGGAAGTAGAGATTAAGATTGGTTTGAGTTCTATTACACCATAAATATAAATATAATAGTCAAACTACTACCTTATTTTTTCTTTATATAAATGAAATTAAAATATTAATCTTTAATTTTTGAATAATACATTAGCTGAATTTGGCTCGAGTTTGTTAATTTTTAATAATTTAATATGAATTATCATAAATACTCGATATGAATGGAATTTAATATGAAACCTTTTGAATCCCCAACTCTTATATTTGAGTGAGAAATTTAGGAATAGGCAAAGGCAATCCCATTGGAACACAAACAAATCCATGCTATATTGATTATCTTGGATTGCATAAATTGGGCCGAATCCAGGCTAATTAAATCATACTTTCACATTTTCATTACAGTTTTCACATCAATAACTAAATAATTATAATAAGATAATATTTATCTTTACCCAATGCATGAGACCAGTCGAGCCGAATATTTTAGACTTAAGCTTGAGCGCGAGTTCAACTTGAAAAATATTAAGCTCAGGCTCGGCTCGAGGTTTGAGACATGAGTAAATGTAAAATAAATATTATATATGTTTATATATAAAGTTTGATAAAGCTCGATAAGCTTTCGAGCTGAATATCATTAGACTCAAGCCGAACTTTTTTCGAGTTAAACTCGAATAGCTCGTAAGCCAGTTCGGCTTATTTTCACCCTTAAGACCATTCATACATCAAATCAATTAAAAGAGAACTTTTTAAAAATTATTACTTTGTTTTTTATTGTACAGTCAAAACTATTCTCGTTTGATCTAATTAATTATTTTTTATTGGCTTAATGCATAGAGTGAGCTTATACATTAGTGTACACAAGTCATTTTCTTTATAATAATAATTCCCTTATAACAAAAAAAAAAAAAAAAAAAAAAAAAAATTTTTTTTCATTGGCTTAATGCCATAGAAGTGAGATTTATACATTAGTTGTACACAAGTCATGGTTTCTTTATAATAATAATTCCTTATACGAAAGAAAAAAAAAAAAAAAAAAAAAAAAAAGAAAAAAAGAAAAAATAATGATTTGCATGATTAAAGACATTGTTTTACGAAATCTTCATTTTATACGGTACTCTGTAGGCACAACCATATTTTCACCGAGATTAAGAAATTAATATAACTAACTATTTTTCTTTATTGTTTCTTAATATACCCCTATATCGCATTAACTCCTCCTTTATAATGTAACATAACATTTACCAATGTTTCTTGGTTGAATATCACAATAAATGCATTGTCTTCCTTAAAAAAGGATATTAAAAGATTTGATTAGGAAATAAAAATTTAAATTTTTGAAACTCAATTCTACATCCTTAGTTGAAACTTTAGTAAATACGTTGGCTTCTTAACAAAATTAGACCCAATTTATAAACGGGATTGCTCACAAATTTGGACAATACAATAATATATCCTATAAAATGTGTGCATAAATTATAAATTGGACCAAAAATCAAATGAGTGCAAAAAAAAAAAAAAAAAAAAATTAAGAAAAAAAAAAAAAAATTATAAAAAAAAAAAAAAAAAAAAAAATTTATGTTCTAGCCGTTAAGGGAAACTTATTATTGGTTTCTCTTTGTATAAGTTGCGTTAAAAAAATGACTATTTCATGTTCAAATAATTTTCCGATACACTTAAGTAATTGTCAAAAAATTTAAATATAGGGTAGCTTCACAAAAGATGGATAAAGTATAAAATCATAACTTTTAAATGTGCTTCATTTCTAAATTTTATACCATTTTAAAACTTAAATTTCATATCATTCAAAGCACCATTTTCTTAGTTAGATCATATTTATTTTTCCAATGTTAATTTAAAAAATAACAACTCTATCACCAAATTTCCTTCAGATTTAATGCTCTTCTACAATTTTATTTGCCATTACCTTAATAATCTCCCATAATAAAACTTTCATAAAGAATAAGACAAGAGTAACATGAGGTTTTCAAATTGACTTTTTTTCAATGTTACCAAAAAAAAGAAAAGTTTGTCTATATATAAAAATAACAGAGAGAGTACTACTAATTTGCAATTAGCAATGAACTTTTTTGAAACTGAAAGCAGATTTAAAGAAATGGATAATTAAGAAACTTTGATTGGCTTATACTCTCTCTCTTGCATTAAATTTTATAGTTTATAATTATTTTTTATTCTATTTAGATGAAAGTTTTTTAAAAAAAAAAATCAAAACAGTATTAATTATTTTATTCCAATTTTATCTTTTATATATATATATATATATCTGTTGTAGATTTGTGTCGCAAATAAATAAATATTAATTAAAAGGTAATTGAGTCAATTACTCTTATTTAAAAAAAAAAAAATTGAAGTGATTCAATTATTTTCTTAATTCTCGTGAAAAGTTAACTCAACGGAACAGTTAAAACTTTTTATAGTTTTTTTCTGCCACTTGGACTAGTTGGTGGTAGGCATGGCCACCGGTTCGGTTCAAACTGGAACTAGACTGAAATCGGCGGTTCAAAATTTTAAACCGGAAAAGGCTCTTCAAGGGCTAGTTAAAGTTCATGTGAATATTAAAATATGAACCGGAATCGGCGATTCCGGTCCAGTTCAAACTGGAAATTTTCTATTTTTATTTTCAAAATGATAATCACTTAGCCTATTTTATACATTTCTAAAAGTCTCAATAATATTATACTACATGATACACTTTACTTAAGAATTTTTTTTAAAATACACTTTACTATGAAAGTTAAAAATCTAAAAAGTAAAATGGTAAAAAAAAGAGAAATATTTAGTCTAAACTTATATTATTTTTAACTTTTTTTTTACCCTTTTAGAAAGTTTTTAAAAATCTTAAAAAGTAAAAATATGGTAAAAAAAAGAGAAATATTTAGCTATAACTTATATTAATTTATTTAACTTTTTTTTTTAACCCCTTTTTAATTGTTGCTAGTTTCCAAGAGTTACATTCTTTTTTGAGCTATTTTCAAAATTTTCTTATAATGTTATGTTAATGAATAACATTTAAATTATTCTATATATATATTGATAATTTATTTGAATTTATGTTGTGTAAAAATTTAATTAATTTTATTCCTTTCTTATAATTTATTTAATGAATAACATTTAAACAAAATAAAGTGATAATTTATTTGATTATTTTGTAAAATTAATTAATTTTATTCCTATATGAGTTTAAGCATTCTAAAATTTATTTAAAATAAAATTTAACTATATTTTTTAAACTCATATAAATATGTACGAAAGAAAGATGTAACATTAAACCCGATTTTTAAAAAAAGAAAAACATATATTATTAAAAACCGTGAACAGAACCGAGGTTCATCGAAACCGCGCCGAAACCAGAATCAAACCGAAACCGACGGTTCAAAGACCGATTCAGATTCAACATTTTGAAAAATTTGAACCGACGGTTGAATGAACTGGCTATGCCTAGTTGGTGGTAAAGAGTGATAAGAGAAGTACTAGAACAACATTTACCTTCTATATCAGTATGCTTGACAGTGCATCCTGCACAGACAGACACGTATATACCGTTAACCTGTACATATTCCTTGCATCTCTGGGAACTCTCTCTACCACCAAAAATTTATTCTCATTTTTTATTTGTACAATCAAATCAATGCTATAGATAAGGCAAAAACTACATCCATACAATCAATTTGTTTTAATGGATTTGGTATGAAATGCCAGTTTTGTGAATTGGGCTCTAATTTTCACACTATCTCAATTCAATTCTTCATAATTATTATAGGGGCTCTCTAATTACTGCTGAACCAACTTGTTTGACAAGACATTTTCTGTTGGAAGTTAAAATCAAAGAGAGAGAGAGAGAGAGAGAGAGAAGATGAAGTGTGTTGTGTTTTGGCATCTCCCAATCCACACCCACATGGCTTCAACTTCCAAGCAAGGTGACAATTGCCTGAGCCTTACAATGTCATACTTGTAACATGGTCTGCAACTAACAGGTTGGCAAAGAAAATGCTATTGTTTTGTAGGTAAAGAATGCTTCACATGGCTTTTGAGTCCCCACCTCACATGCAACCAATGTGGATTTCTCATAACCAAACTTTAATTACTGTAATTAGGTGTGGTTTTAGCATCGTAAGGTGGAAGTGAGAAAGGTTAAAAAAAAATGCATCATTGCATAATATGCTTTATGCCGTCACGTGCAATAAGGTAGGAAGGACAATATGTCGTGAATATCAATAATTACTATTTAAAGAGGCAAAATGATGAAAGTAACTGAACAATATATTTAATTAAATTTGATTTTGGAATACTTAGAATTGCCAGAATTCGTAAATTATATAGTACAGAATCTGAGCAAATGGACAAATTGATGACTCTATGATGAATAGAGAGAGTTTAACAAAATGAAGATGTGAACAACACTGCGGCATCTAAATTAAGCACGCCGAGGTCGATCAATGGCGTAATGACAAGTGGAGATTTTGTATCTGATTGTTACAGAAATGGCACCCGTAATGTAAATGTACACTTGCCAATTTTTTTTTTTTTTTTTTTTTTTTCACCCGCGTATATGGTAATGTACCTTGCGCAATTTTTTTTGTTGTTTTTTTTTTTTGAGGGGGAGACAAATATCAGAGGAGAGGGCCATTGAACAGAGAATTGGCTGCTAACTTTTCTGGATACTGTTTGTAGGATTTTTCTTTTTCCTGTAATGATGGGTTGTTTGAGAAATTGAACATTTGGCGGCCTTCCTAGCGGGCAGGAATCAGAACACCAGCACTTGAAGTAATAGCAACACATGCGAAAGAGGATTTTTGCGTCCTAAACCTCGAAGCTTCTATAGCGGTAGCTGGCTGCAGCTCACAGCTCTGATGGAAGTAAATAGCGCCTCCATTTTATATATATAGGTTCTCCCTGATCTCCAATTCCAGTGTTATCCACACACTATTTCCCTGTTCTCGACTCTTTTTGTCACCTTCAATAATATTATTAAGATATAAATATTTATCTTTTGCGTGTGTCATTATTTAGGCCATGCACATCATTTCATCCATGCCATTATCATGGGAAAATATATTTTTTTTTTTTTTTTTTTTTTTTTTTGGAGGGGACAAATACAGAGGAGTAGGCATTGAACAGAGAATGGCTGCAAACTTTTCTGGATACTGTTGTAGATTTTCTTTTCCTGTTGATGGGTTTGAGAATTAACATTGGCGGCCTCTACGGCAGGACAGAACACCAGCACTTGAAGTAATAGAACCAACCATGGAAGAGGATTTTGCTCCTAAACTCGAAGCTCTAGCGTAGCTGGCTGCAGCTCCAGCTCCTGATGGAGTAAAATAGGCTCCATTTAATAATAGGTCTCCTTCTGATCTCCAATTCCAGTGTTTCCACACACTATTTCCTGTCTCGACTCTTTTTGTCACCTGGCAGTAAAAAAAAGGAAAATTAATAACTTTTTCTTTTCATTATTTAGCCATCACATCATTCATATCATTATCATGGGAAAATATATTTACCTCCTTAGCAAAAGCATTATTAGGGGCAAGATATCTGTTCCCCTGGCTATTAATGGTAGGATTGGCACTTCCACCAATAGCATACATTTCCCAGTGTGTATAGTCATTGTTCACCACATGGAAATACCCATGCCTACACCTGCAGAGGTTAATGACTTGTCCCTGTCAGATTTACTTCAGCAGTAAAATTCATTCATTTGGGATAAAAGAGATATTGTTTCATTTTAATATTACCTTGGCATTCTCTGGATAAGACCCTCTCCAAAATGGTTGTAGGCAATTGTTACTTGCATTTGTTTATCTCTTGTGTAGGAGTCACTGTGACCCAATAACATAACCTGTTCATTGTTTAAGAAACATTCTTTAGTACTTCAGTCAAATTTTGCCAGAAAGAGAAAATGCAAATGAGTAAAATAAATTGATGCCAGAGTAATGTAATTAACCTCATTGTGGTGGGTGAAGTAGTTGTTGGAAATGGTAATGGCAGTTGACCCCATTATAGCATCAATAAGGCCATCAGCACAATTTGATAGAGAATTGTGATCAATCCAAATATGACTCGATCCAAAAATGGAAATTCCATCTCCATCAGCCATTGTTCTCCATCCATAATGAGTAGGCGAGCTACGAACCATGGCATTACCAGTAGGCTTGCAATCGTGGATGTGGAGACCATGAATAATAACATTGGTGACAAATTGGATTGTAATGCAAGCGCCATTGGCAATATGAACGTTGACTCCTCGGGCATCAATAGTCTTAAAACTATTCATAATAAGTTCTTGCTTTAGAGTAATCACCATATCTCTCTTAAACACAATCCATAAAGGTCTTTCTTGAATAACAGCATGGCGTAGTGTTCCAGGTCTTGGATTAACAGCATCATGATCGCTAGGGTCATTAACAACATAGTATCTTCCATCACGACCACCAATGGCATTGCGTCCAAAACCAATCCCACAATCAGCAAGGCGTTTCCTGTTTTTTTGCCAATTGCGGTCGCATCGCCAACAATCATCAATAGGATTGCCTGTTACACATGAGAAGAATCCTAAATTCCTTCTTGCTGTACTGTTGCGTACGCTCCTGTTAGAATTCACAAGAACATGTGACATTGTCATTATTGGTATTAGAATTATTGAGGTATTTGACAAAATTAATCACTCACTAGTTAAAACTTAAAAAGCATCATGTCCCCACATCAAGATGTGATGTAGGGCACGTGACAATGTGGACGATGGACAAATGCATGAATTGATACGGTCTATACGGAGAATTGTTATGATCTTTTAATGCCATAAATATATTTCACCACTATTCAAGAAATAAATGCAAGGTTGCTGAACTAATGGCCTGACTGGTACTTTTACATGTCGGTGATCAATAAAAATTTGGCGTTGTCATTTATTGACTTCACATTAACCATATTCAACAGCTTGGCTCAAATGGGTAGCTACAACCTGTTAGATCAGAAAAGAATTCTGATAAACAGTCTGATGGTACGAAAGCTAGATCTGGGTGTGTGGTTTGCAGCTCATGCCTTTTGACAGGCTGGAGAAAAGGAGCAAAAACTTAGTTGTCTAATGTCCAGTCTACCCCACCTAATTGGGATAAAAAGCCAATGGTAGATATTATCGTTGTTGTAATTGACATAATTGAGATCTTGAGACCAATCATGTCGAATGGATGATGGAACTTAGTAGCTGTTAATACATAAGAGCAACATTATGATAAAAAGTAGGCTTGTGCGTGGAGGTATATAATTAAAACCCAACAAGAAAAAATTTCTCACTATCAAAATGGATTGCAACCTTAGAAATCCTGTATAATCCAGTAAATTAAAGAAGTAGAATATGTAGAATTGTCCGTAGTTAACAGTCAGTTCAAACTTTAAAACTTTTAGCACTCAAAAATAAAGATTTGCAGGGCGAGATACAAGCGAGAAAACCAGGGTATCTGATGTATAAGGCCAACATGGAAAGTAAGTAGTTAAAATGTACAGTCAAATGATGGCTTTACAAAAGCAATTAAAAAAAAAATGAAGCTAATTTAGAAAACTTAATGCGAAGTCATAGACACGTCGGTATAGGCATGTAAAGCTAAATGTACTTGGAATTAGATTTGGATAGGAGAAAGAAAAAGACAAGAAATAAAATAAGGGCGTGATGCGCGGATCTCACGACATGGCATGTGCATAAGCTGGCGGAAGAATTAAAAGTTAGCTAGGGATACTGCAAGAGTAGAGATTTCATAGAAGAGAACATGGTTGAATCCTCATATCATTAATAACCACTTGGATCGATAATAATTAATAGTATATTGAATTACTCCATATGGGTGATAGAAGTAACCATCTACCTACCTATAAGCAACCCAAAAACTAGGCTATATATATGTGTTTTAAATCTCCTGATGTTGTTTTTCACCAGGGATTATATTAGGCTATTATCTTCTTTTTTTTTTTTCCAATTCAGATACCATATACTGTTATTTTCAAACTTCAAAGGCGAAAGACATATTTTTTGATATATTATAATATAATTTAATATAATTTAATCGGACGTAATGAGAAAAAAATTATATGAGAATTTTGGCTCGAAACCCAAAAATAATCTCAAAATCGACCTAGCCACGAGCCTCATCATTTTGGTGTCAATTCTTTTGGCTGAGGTTTTTGAACGGAATTTTACATGCTGTGTGTTGAAAGAGACATGTGGAAGGTTTTTGGAAAGGGTACTGAGAGTTAGGAAAAAGGTCCTCACAGAAAATGTGAAGATCTTGGTTAGCTATTACACGCAACAATCCTGCAATGATTTTTACCTTTGCAATGAACTTTTTATAACGAAAATAACAATTTTGTAACCAAAATTTGTAACCATATTTGTTGTTTTCAAAAGGAATTTTTCCTTTAATGATAAGTTTCAATCTTCTACTTATATATAATCAATTATAATCGAAGACATGTTAGACCTTAAAAAACAAAAGAGGTTTACTTATTTATGAGTTTAAATAATATGGGCATGTGAAGCTCTTTATTGATACCCATAAATATAATAAAAAAATTAATTAATTAAAATGGGAATATTAATTAAAAGAATTTGATGTGTATTAAAATAATAATCAACGTAAACATAAAAACTCACTCATCAACCATTGAAGCAACCTCATCCGGATTCTCTACAGCATGCTCGTTCCATGCATCACCTGACCTGAATATTAAAAAATAAAATAAAATAAACTTATAATCAAAAATATAAGTTTAGGTGACTAAATTAACCTCATAAAACCTTATAATTCAAGGACATTTTCGTACACAAGAAAAATTAAACTAATCTGGTCAACATCACGGTCATAGTTCAAAAAGTAAACTACTTCCACTGTGAACTTTTTACTCTGACGTTCAGAAATGATAACAGAGCAACTGAGCAACCGTCGCCTGAGAAACTAAACTAATGCAACAGAATTAACGATAATGATTTTTTTGGATCCCGATCTCAACGGCTTAAAGTTTTCTGGATGTCAGGTAAATGAATTAACCAACAGTCCAGGTCTCGCAGTTTTCAAATTGTACAATTAGGATCCAATTAGTAGCTTAACTGCTCTGTAACTCACCCGTCCGCCATTGATGAGTTGTTGGAGCTCTGAAAACGCCGCGTTTCTTCTAATCTGGGAGAACAAAACACCAAATTAAAGCATCATCATTGATTTATTTATTTATATCAAAATGTACTAATTTAAGCGTAAAAAATAGAGCACTTGAGAAATTTAATAAAAAGTCAATACAAATCAAGAGAATTCTACAGCTTCAGTGGAAAATCGATCGTGAAGAGCTCAAAATGGAAGAAGATCGAAAATGTACCTCGATTTCAGATCGGTCTTCTTTGTATCAGCTTTTACACTAACAAACAGAACTAGAAGCATCAATGTACATGTACAAAAGACTCTTAGCGAAACCGCCATTGTTGCTTCTTCCTTTTCCTCTCTCTGTTTATCGGAGTAAATGGCGCTGTTTGTTTCTCTGTCTAAGAATCAAGAAATCAAGAAAGAAAATAAAAGATACGAGTCAAAGAGAGCTCTGGCGAAGCTATCCTTTTATAGCGAAAAGAACTTACAGGCCTAAATCTCGCCTAACTTTGTTTAACCTTTCTTAACTCAGGTTAAGTCAATTAACCCAAACACTAACCACCTCACCACCTCTCTAACCGCCACTAACTGACTCTCTCTCTCTCTCTCTCTCGCTTAAAGGCCTTATACGCTTTAACTCGCCCACGTCTCGTGTGTGTCGGTAACTCACGTGCCTAATCATCCCCCTCTGACACATCACCTCAACCCCCGTCTCTTGCTCGTCTTCCGTCACCAAGACCACCGAAGCCAAGTCAGCTGTATTTATTCTGAACAGAAGTATCCGTACTCGCCGATGGCGGTGAAGATTACTACTCGCTTCTTCTATTTGCCACGTTGCTAACGATGAAGGTGGCAATAAAAAAATTACGGTGACCGTACGAATTTTCTGTATTATGAAACGTACGATATTGACAGGTGTCCTTCTAATTGAGTACGGTAAAACGACTATGGGATCTCCCAGGTTACCGGTTCTCTCGGTGAGTGTTCTTTTATGCAAATTCCAAGAAAATGTTTCCCGCGATTTTTAACTACATAACCCAACCATTTAAAGCCTTTGTTTATTTAACTACATAAGCCTTTGTTAAAAAATACCAATACCTTCCATTTTCAATTGTTTGAAAATTGCATGAAAAAGAGATGCAAAGCTACATCCTGTTCTTGAAGATTTGAGGAGAGAAGGTCCCAATCACAAAATCTGGCTTTCAGGTTGGAGCCCAAATCATGTTAAAAAATAACCCATATGATAGGACATCCAACAGAGACAGTGCCCATAAAAATGTATGGGTCTACATTTTTCATTCCCAATTGCATATAATATAAAGTGAATTCAACTTTGGTCCACACAACCCTCAATCTCTTACAACTTACACAGTCTAATAATGTATAGATAAGGTTTAATTTCCATTTATGACTTCTACTTACGAATTATTACAGAAAAATTAATTAACCTTATACTGCTTGTCAAAATTAGAGAAGACAATCCACAATCATGAGAGTTTGTTGCAATTAATAGTGGCTGCAATTTCATTCAACTGAGTAATTATGACTATAATCAAAAAAATTAAGCTGTAATCACCCTACTAAATTGAAAACCCAAATTAATAGCTTATGGGAACCACTGAAATTATCGTTTGCCCTTTTCATTTGTGTCGCTTTTATTAAACATGTCGTTTGATAAAAATTAAAAAGGAACCTCAAAACAGGAACCAATGGCTTAAAACGCAAGCTAGATTGGATGGACCCTCAAATGCTAGCTGGTATTTTCTTCTGGTCCACCGTTGCTTACTTTAGTTTGTTTCTGCATTGTACTGTATTAAAGTGGGGAAAAAGCTACATTGTTTTTGTAGCGTAGGTCCAGTTTTTGGCTACCAGAAAGCTGGCTGGTTTCGCTCTGTCTCTCTCGCAAGCTTATACATATTTGTCTTCTTTTTTTTTTTTTTTTTTTTGCAAGCTAGATTGGATGGACCCTGCAAATCTAGCTGGTATTTTCTTACTGGTCCACCGTTTGCTTACCTTTATTCTGCAATTGTAAACTTGTATTAAAGTTTGGGGAAATAAAGCTACATTGTTTTTTGTAAGCGGTAAGGTCCAGTTTTGGCTACCAGAAAGCGGTGGTTTCGCTCTGTCTCTCTCTGCAAGCTTATTAGCGATATTTGGTCTTCTTTTTTTTTTTTTTTTTTATAAATTTTTTTTTTTTTTTTTTTTTTTATAATTTTATTGGCATTCTAAAGATCGTATCTCTACACCATAAGACCAAAGAAAAATGCTTAATAGTGTAAATATATTGGATAAAAAATACAAAATATTTTTTAAGAACCCCAGAGAAAGTGGGCTTTGGAACTTTTTAAGATCATGTGGTGTATGTTGAGAGAAATGATTGCAATATTTTCATTTTTAACCTTTTGTCACTTATGTCAAAACACACACTGGAAGTTCTCTTGAAGTCATTCCTTATTAATTGTGATATATTTTGTGCCATTATTCCATGATAGTGCTAGTGCATGTCAAGTGTCAACTCCATTTTTGTGTTCCTCCACTTGATAGTACACCATTTGCACCGTCTATGGTCAAACTTCTCTTCATACCTCCCATGAACCGATGCGTCCCACGTCACCCGCGGAGTACATCTTGGCCTAGTGTGTAAGGTTGGATTCAATCTTTTCCCTATGAGCTAGTTTTTAGGGCGAAATTAGGGGTCTAGTTCCTTATCATGAACAAAAAAGGAAAAAAAAAAAATTTTTTTTCTATCTTGTAAAAAGAATGTATCCCACTAGTAATAGTGTTAAAAGATATTTTATACTCCATTACTTTCTATTTCACTAAATACAATCTAATAAAATTATTTTATATTCTATTTGATGAGCAGGAATTAATGAAATAATGTAATATAATAAAATGTATTTTAGTATAATATTTATATTAAATATATAGTTACTTTTATTTTTATACAAATTATTTTAATATTTTAGTTATTTTGTATAGAGAATTAAATGAGATTAGATATCATGAAATGGCTTTAAATATATTTTGTTCCATGTCTAACAAAATGAAAAACAAAGTTAAATTCTTTGGCAATATGTTCCCCACCAAACACATAAAGCTCATGTGACATTGAGACTGATCAATTTCAGATTGTATGGCTCAAAGATTGCTCCTCTGGCATGGAAAATGACATTAAATTTCACATTAATTAATTAATTAATTAATTTTTTTAATGCTAGCAAAAGAAAAGAATACTAATTGATTTTAAATTTGTGCTCTTTTGCGACTAAGAAGGCGGAGCACATGGTACCACTGTCTGCACGGATCCGTATGCTTTTAATTTAAGACCAAAACGGCAAAACATAAGCGTCCAACAATGCCGTATCCAACACTACTTTTTATATACACATCCAATTTCAACGATTAGCCAAAAAAAAATTAAAGAATGGATTTTTTTTTTAATCATGTTTTTAAGAAAGTAATTTTATATATATGTATATATATATTCAAGAGTATTGTCTTTATGTTTACTATTACATAAAGCTATAGTAACGAGGTCCGTATACCGGTGATTTATATCTATATATATATAAACTTTGGAGAGAATAAATGTTTTGGAGATTTTGATTGAATGATGAAATATTTTAATTTATAAAGTTACAATTTGATCTAAATGCCAACAACTAACAATACTAAATAAAAATAAAAACAAAAATAAACCAATTTTCTTTTTAAAGCTTGAGGGTTGGCTACCAAGAAATAAATGGCATTTGTACATAAAATATAATTCATGGAACTATTTGGTCAAACATCTATTCCTGAATTTATTAGTCAGTAATTTAAAGTTTACGCTTCCGACCAACTTCAATTCTTCCCCTCCTCGATCTTCAGTATTACAATTGAATTGAATTTGGGTTGGAGGAAGTTGAGATTAGGTGTGGATGTTGTATTTGTCCCTAACTCACATGGCTAGCTAATCACCGCCAATCATGGAAGGTTTTTATATTTCTTTTCTTTCCTTCTCCTCTATTATTTCCTTAATTCACGCCATTTCATTTACTAATATCTTATTTTCCTTTGCTAGTCTTCTATTGATAAATTAATTATCATGGAGTTTAGTAAATCCCAGGAATTAATTATCTTTTTAATTAACAATTACTTTGATGGAATTGTTAAAATAGTTAATAGATGAATTTTTTAATCACCCTTTAATTCTATTTTCAAGATACCGAGAAATGAGATGAAATGATAATGATCACTTCTTCCTCTATTTGAAATACTCGAGAGAAAGTGTTTTGCCCTCTTTTGTAATATGTCCGATGTGAATCTAAATTAACAGAACCATTGAGCTTTAAAGACAAATTAAGATATACTAATTAATCGTTAATTAGGTTAAACTAATCATCCCTATTCCTTTAATCAACTTTAATCTAAAATTATAAGAGGCTTCTTTTTAAGCAATGTGATTTCAGGGAAATGGAATGGACTACACTTCCCATCATCCAACCTAGATAAAAATAAAATAAAATAAAATAAAAAAGAAAAAGAAAAAGAGAGAGAGAAACATAGTATAACTTCGATGATATAAGTTCTTACTATAAATATAAATGGAGTGCAATTGAAGTATCATTGTTCTTCTTTAATTTAATTAATCCAAAACTCTCTCTTAATCCTTGTTTTTCATTTATAAAAAAAAAATATTAATTAAGCAATTCTTGTGATAGACAATAACAAAGGTTGTTGGGACATTGTTATGAGAGGGTTAAATCTCTTATTCCTCAACTAATTATAATTCAAATTAGTTGCTAATTAATTCTCTTCAAAAGAGTAATCAATTACTAATTTGAAACAAAAACAAGTACTACATGGTAATTTCTTGTTCCCTTTCCACTATAATTAATAAAAAGTTGTTTTTGCAAGAAAACGAAATGATAACTTCACATTAAATTGAAATATTTGGTAAGAGATATAGATAAAGAGATCGACGCCGTTAAAACAGCTAACAACTATCAAAACAGTTAAGTTTGTTGAAAGACTTAGTTAAGCCAGGTAGCTGCAAAAGAAGGAGAGTGCATTGTAATTTTCTTGCAATCTTTTATGACAAGGAAGTCACAGTTTGTTAAATTTCCCCAACCACATGCTTGCACTCTGTCAAATACCCAATCAAAACAAAAAAAAGAAAACCCAAATGAGAAAAATAAAGAAGGTGACCTTGATCAACATCAAATGTCTTTGTTTGACAAATTTAGTCAAATTGAAAATCCAAATTAGGGTTTGCGTTTGTGCTCGAACAATCATATAATCTTCTTGTATTGGGGTTGGAATTGACTGCCATGGAGATATGCAAATTGGAAGTTCAATTAAACAATTGGAGATTAATTATTAGGTATAGATTGTAATTAGTCAAAAATTTAAGTTAAAAATCATTATAGCTTTTGATTAAGTGTTTTACTAACACCAAACCTAACTTAACTGCTTGGATATGTTAGTGTAACACTTATGTCATATGGTCTAGAATATCAACTCAACCTTGTTAGTTGCTCTTTCTGATAGCAATGGAAACCCACCCAACTATGATTTTATCCTTATTTTTAAAAAAATATTAAAAATTAAATGTAAAATTGAAGTGTTAAATTATGTAAGTATTGAATTTTTAATCCAAAAAAAAAAATATTTTAAAACATAATAGTGATTTTGTTTGGTTAAATTTTAAGTTAATGAATTTTGACTTATTATTTTTAGAAAATTTCAGTTTAATTAAAATATTTTCTTTATCAAAATTGTCTTAGTTATGGTAATGTTATATAATAAAATCAAATAAATTTGCAGTATCTAACTTATATTATAATTTTATTTGACATTATATTGCATTCTATTACGACTTAATAAACATATAATATTAAAAAAAGATTATTATTTTGATTAGTAATTTTATAAGCTACCTTTTGGATGGTCCAAAGATTTCAATTTTAATAAAGTTAGAGCGTACAGTCAATTTACCCTTAGAGTTAGTTTATTGAAAATTGTAGTGTAATAGGTAATATTATCAAACCATTTAAAATTAAAAGATAATAAAATTTTCATTTCTTAAATATTAATCTCTATTATGTAACAACAATTGAATTTAAATAAATGAGCGTTGGCATGAATGGTTCAATATTTTTTTCTCATAAGTCGAGGATTCGATCGTTATGTATGAATGAAGTAAATACTTACTGGAAGCGTTTTACCCTTTAACTGGCTGATCTAGTATGAGCAAAATTCAGTGTTAACTTAATAGAGGGAGAATACTTGTAGTTAATAAAAAAAATTGAATTAAATTTGTTTTCACCTTCTAAGTTACTATAACACTATAATAAAATAAAAAAAATGCAACTAATAAAGCTTTAATTGAGATGGTTAGCGACCTCAATTCCGGTAAGTGTGAGAATATAAATTTAATTCGCAAAAAGAACAGTTTGCTGGTAGAGCAAAAAAGCCTTTGCTGTGGTACCAAATTAAGTCACCAAGCGGAATACTTAATTAGGCAGGCAAGACAACATATCATGGGGCACTTCAAGTTAATTTATAGAACAAAGGGCACATATGGGCATGCATCTACATCGTTTGAGAGACCAATTTAATTTTTATAAAAGAGACACAGATAAATTTATATGTTTAATTAAAAAAAAAAAAGGTTTTAGTGGATATATAGATTTGAGGCCAGGCCATGGTTGTGATTAATACACTTAAGATTCCGTAAATAATTTTTTTCACATGGCTGGCTGGTTTTGTGGCTTGACATATGCCCACATGTCAAGAATCTGATGGCTGAATTTACTTTATTGCCCTTAAACCTTCTCTAGTTTAATAGCAGAACAAGAATATTCTCATTATCTCTCTACTTGCCCAAACCTAAATAACTAACTACTTCTACTACTCCCTCAGCAAATGAAATTCCACGCAATCTCTTTTTCAACTCCCCTATGTTTCTTTTTGTTTATAGGTTAATTAAAACAAGCTATCCACCTTGGGTTTTGAGCAAAACCATCGTTTTCTTCTTTATTTTTTGTTTATTGGGTTTTTTTTTTTTTTAACCACCAGTGTCCAAAATTTATTATCAAAAACCGCAGAATCTGATTCAGGATTTAATCACAGTTGAAATTCTTCACCCCTCTTCGCACGTGTGTTTATTGGAGATCGAAACTCGAGAGCTCTTTTCACATGCTCAACCTGCATTATTATGTGAGATACAATCCATAGATTATTGAGATATTTTTTTTAATATTTAACCATAATTAATATTATAATTATTTATTTTTGAACTATTATTGAACATCAAATTCTCATAGATGATGAAAGAGAGTTTTAACTCTAACAACTAGATTAATTATAATGGATAATTTTTCATAAATTCCAAATCTATCGATATTAGAATATACTTTTAAAATAAGACAGAATATCAAAGTGAATTGATGACTATATGATGGTTCAACAATCAGCTGAATTTAAATATTTTCATTTTTATTAATAAATATTAATTATAGAAAATAATAAATTAACATGATCACAAATCTAGAATTATTTTTCTAATTATTCATTAATAAACATCAATTTCAAAACTACTAATTCTCAAGTGATGATTCGTCATTAATGTTATATATATGTCAAGATAATAATATTGAAAATAATTATTATAATAATATAATGTTGTTATAAACTTATAGCAATTTCGAACTCATTCTTCATTGTCAATAATTATTAATTTTCAAGTACTTAATTATCCATACTAAATATAAAAATATAATTAAATTATAATTATTCAAACATAAGTAATAACTCTTTCTTTATTTTATTTTATTTTTTTTTTTTTGGTTTAGATGGTTGTGGATTCAAATAGATTTTTAATTATCGAAATCGATTTTTGTTTTTTTTAAAAAAATTTTTTCGTTAAATCAGAACTGATTAGCAGGCAATTCACAAATTAATCGGTCTGATGGATTAATTCAATGAAATTTCAAGAACACTGATATTAGGTCTCAAGAAAACTGCGCACGTCTGGTTACACAACTAGTTAAAAGAAGTATAATAAAGAAAAAGCTTGACACGTACATTATTTGCATGCATGCCTCCGAAACTTGCGGGTTGGCATAAGTTGATTCCGCCAATGCATGCCAGTCCATAAAGAGGAGAAGTAGCATCTTCTCTTTCTAAAAATAATTAATAAATGGGATTATTATGTTAATTTAGTTATAATACATTATCCTTAAACACTAATCAAAAGACCTAAATGATGGTCACATGTGACTTGGAACTACTGCATCCATCCATCATGCATGCATGGATTAAAAAAAATGCCAATGATGATTATAGTTAATTTAATGTGTTCCCTCACTGCAATTACATAATATTTTTACTTTTGCCCCGTATTCATCTGACTTAAGCAGATTATACAAATTTGATTTTTAAAAAACGCATCTTACTAAAAGAATAAAAATTCTTTATCTTTTATGACCCAAGAAGGATTAAACCTCCTAATTATAAGAAAAAAACAATTTAATCATACAAATGGAAACCATGATTGGGTGCAACAAATCTCTTCATGTTTCTTTCTTTTTCATTTCTACATACATAACAAGAGCAAAGAATAGAAATCGAAACAAAAAACAAAATTTGCCAAAACTACACGTGTCTCTCTCTTAATTTCGTTGAATTGTACAACTCAAAAGGGTCATGTGTACATGTTTCTGGAATGTCCTTTGTATGTTCACCACCAAACTCGAAATGCCAGCTCTCTCACAATTATTATTATTATTATTATTATTATTATTATAAATATAATTTTAATTTTGATTATTTGTGAACTAAAAGCTCATTGTTAAAAAAAAAAAAAAAGCTTAGTTCCATTTAAAAAAAAAAAAAGAAAAAGAGAAGAAGGCCTTGGATTTGGAATAGCCCATTGTTTGTGGTCACTCAGTCGGCCTGTACATTGTTGGGCCTAAAAATGTGAGCTAATTCAGACAAATCACACTGTGAATGGCCCACTTGGATCTTTGAGTGCGACTAAACATCTTAAAATGACGTTTAATCTTTTCAATAGAAGACATAATTAACATCTTAAATATGTAATTATTTTATTTAATCAAGATTGTTAAGATATAGTAATTGATAGCAGCAACTTTAAATCCTAATGATTGTGAAAAAGAAAGGACTAAAGGGAAGCTAAACTTGCAAAATAATGCCTCACTTTCACTTTACAAGAGTAAATTATTCAAAATAAAGCTAAAAGCAGCAAATATAGTGCATTGCTCTATGAATTTTTTTTTTCTTTTAATAGAAAAAAATCAATTAAAACTTATGTTTACAACAAATGCATTAATTCTCTGCCTCGTGAAATTAAAAAAAAAAAAATTGTCTGTCGCTACAGATATGTTTTATTATTAGCAAATGCAAATTTCCAAAAAGAAGAAATAGAATATGGAAATCCTAATTAACAACTTCAAAAAGAACTTAACATATCTTCTTCATAGATGAAGCGATAAATCAAGTTTTGGATCTTTCTTATTATCATTAGTATTTGCCAAATTCTGATGGGCATTATTTGCTACTATAGCTGAGTTCTGGTTGGAGGCACCATTGAATCTTATGCTCCTTTGCCAATTCAAGAAACTTGGATCTTCTTCTTCACATTGATGATTATGATATCTATGGCTTGAACAATTCCCACCATAAAAAATCCCATTATCAAACTTAGGTGCACCATTTGACCCAAAACTATTGGAGATGAATTGGTGGTTTGGATAACATTGCAAGGGGGCTGCATGGGCTGTTATGTACATTGAAGGATGTAATAACCCTAAATGATGATTATGACTTGGAGCAAAAACCATTGGCAATGACGCCGATGGCGGTAGAGGTGGTGGTGGCGTTGCATATTCAGAAGCTCTTTTTGCCTTTCTTGCTGCATTTCTTTCTTTCTTGTGAGCATTTTGGTGGCCACCTAAAGCTTGAGAACTGTAAAATTTTCTTGAACAGAATAAACAAGGAAATACTCTTGTTCTTGTTTCGTCTTCTACATTTGTCTGATGACAAACCTTCTCCTCAATTTCCATGCCTGCATGCATTAGAAAAAGAATTACCTTAACTATATGTATAAATAAGCAAATCAAGGTTGAAAGCTAACAGTCCAATGGAGTATTGGCATGATCGATACTGTTAGGCCAGGTAGGTGAAGGCCCTAAAACTAATAATTAACTAGTGGTAGAGCACTTGCTGATTTATGGGAAAAGGAAACTAAAAGGCTAAAAAGAAACAATGGAGAAGATAAAGAAAGTACCAAAATAAAATGGTGAGTTTGATCTTTTTAGTGTTGGAGCTGATGAAAAAAAGGAAGAAGAGTTAGGTAAAGAGAGTTGAGAGACTAAGTTCACAAGAGTTGAAAAATGCGAAGAACCTCTACATGTAATAATTATATAGAGTGCTTGAGACAAGGGGCTGTATGGGCTTAGTAACAGAGGAGATAAGAAAGAGAGAAGTGGGGATACTCTGAATCCTACAAGGTTTATGAAAAAAAAAACACTAGAGAGAGAGAAAGAGGAGTTATTGGTAGAAAGAAATGCCTGGACTGGATTGGAAAAAGGAATCTGTTTTTTTAATTTTCTGTCTCTGACAATCATATCAGTTTCATGGGCAAATGGGTTTCTTCTTGCAGGAGTTATAAGTATCTGCTTGTAAGTGGAGTAATCAAATATGGGGTTGTTATTTGCCTTTAGCTAGCTAGTGCTGCACAGTATTCAATCTTCAAAATGGAGCATTTAATAAAGGAGAGGTAGTGTACTTGTCAAATTTGAAAAGACGAACATGAATAGGCCAAATTAATTGTGTTGTAAGAGAGAGAAGTCAGATTGTCAGAATAGCAAATGAGCTTTGGATCATCTCTCCAATGGCCAATGTGGAACGATTGGGTCACTTAAAAGCTAAAACCACTCCGGAACTCAGTATAAGAGAGAGTAGTGGTTTTAGTTTTCATTTGTTTATTTATTTATTATATTGTATGGGGTTGGAAGCAATTGGCTTAGCTTGGCTCTTGTGCTGCATTCGTCTGCTTTTTTCTATAAATAGTTATGGGGCTAACAGCCACTGGTCCTGCAATTTTAGCTTTCCCCCACCGCCATTTCCATGCAATTTGTCACTTTTCGTCCATTCCTCAACTGAACCCTCATTATCACTCCCCCAACTCTCATTAGAGAACCCAATGCTTCTTTCCTTTCCATCTCCTTCCTACACTTGGCACTTATTACTCTATTTCCAACTCCCATTTCTTAAAATTAAGCTTCAAACTACGTTTTTCAATATTTTCAAAAATTCTTAATAATTTATTTTAGAAATTTCAATTGTTTTTGAAAATTCATAATTTATAAAAATTAAAAAAAATTGTCTAATTTTTATCTTCAGATCCTACTTAATAAACTGTAAACACAATGGACCAAAAAAACACCTATCATAATATATAGGCTTAATGCATCAAAATTCCTCAACTTTACAGACTTTTATAGTTTCACTATAATTTGACATTTCTGTCAATTCTATCCAATTTTGACCTTTTATAACAATAACAACCTCAACTTCATCCTTAATTGCAATTGAGAGTGCAATTGCTATAAAATATCGAAATTAGATAAAATTGACCAAAAAAAAAAATCAAAATAGAGTGAAATTGCAAAATCAAGTAACGTTAGGACATTTTGATATATTAGACCTAATACATAGGCCAACATTTTGGCAACTCCACTCATCTCTGGAACAAGTTATGTGACAAAATTAGGTCGAAATCATGTACCAAAACCCTTAAATTACAACGGGTACAAATATATAACAGGAAGCAAAATAGCTCGAACATAGAATCTATAATTAAACAAATCATTCTTCATTTTTTCTTCAAAAAAAAAAAAAAAAAAAAAAAAACCTTAAATTTACATAGGGTACAAATATATAACAGGAAGCAAAATGCTTCGACATAAGAATCTTATTAATTTAAAGCAAATCAATTCTTCATATTTTTTGCTTCAAGAAAAAAAAAAAAAAAAAAAAAATTCAACTCTACAACAAGATGTAAAAAAAAAAAAAAAAAAAAAAAAATTCAAACTCTACACAATGATAATGAGTAATAACAAGAAAAAAAAAGCCTCAGAAGTGTTTTAGAAAAGAGCTCTTTTGAAATGAACATGTAACTTCTAGAGAGATCTCATGGGTTGCACTGGATATGTATGACTGCAATGAATAGGCAATAATGTCGGATGCACATTGTGTAGAACAACCAGGAGAAGGGTGGTTGTATCTTGGTTAGCAGACAAACTAATGCTCATGAATCATAATCATCGTATATACTACTGCTGGTGCTTAAATCAATGTGCTGACATTTAGGAACAACCAAAACATCTCCTAAAGGAGAAAAAACTTGATGGTTCCGGTGATGGCTCGGGCTCTGGCTTCATCTTAGGAAGATGCTTAAAGAATGCTTTCACTGCTCCAGTTACTCCATCCTCATTCTCCATGGCCTTGGCAAGTTCAATAGCACGCTCCTTCACCTGCCATCATAAGTCCATCTTGTGATAAGTTTCTTCCAATTATAAATGAAGGCGATTTCATTTTTATAGAGATCAAAATCTTGTGAGCATGTTTTATAAAATACCATTTTGGACCCTATTGGAAAAAGAAGTTCAAACATGTATTGAAGCTTTTAGGATTAGAATATTCACTAATCAATATTTTCAGTAATAAATAGCTCAAACAACAATGCCAAACATACCCTTAATGTTTTTGTTGCAAATCCCTCCTCCTCCCTCCTTCCCCGCCCTCAAAAAAAAAAAAAAAAAAAAACAAAAAAAAAAAAAAAAAAAAAAAAAAAAAAAAAACCAAACATTCTTGTTTTGTCTTTATCCTCCTAAGTATCATTTTTCCCTGGGACTGGTAAGCGTCAATTCCTAACCCTCCATGTCACCACCAGGCAGTATATTACAGCAGCTTAGGATAGAAATTCCATATTCCTGTGGTCAAGGGCGGGGCAGGGGGTGGGTTGGCAGGGGAACCTTCCATGTAAATTTTAGATGTTGAACATATTCACTTGTTTTGGTAAGCTAAGCAAATATAGAAAGGAACAGGGTTATTAAGTAAAGCGTTCCAGAAATCGCATGTTACCTTGGGATCTAGCATAATCTTTATTGCATCAATCAACTTGGGAAGTGAGAACTCATCAACAGGTATGGGTTGAGGACCTACTCCTCTGGCATATACTCGTTCACCCCAGAATGGTTGGTCACCAAAGAAAGGCACAATGGTTGTGGGACACTACATTGCAAAAGGAGAAAGGCGTCAACACAAGGTAGAGAACATATGATGTGGAAACTGAAGTTCCACGATCAAAGAAGAAATAAGCTCCGGCCATTACAGCAGCTTTCAGACCAGCAGCTGTTGTTCCAGCACCCCCATGATGAACCTAAAATCAGAATGCATGCTGATAAGAACATGCGATAAAGACAGCAAATAATCCAAGCTCAAAGAAAAAAATCTAAAGTGAGCATAGGTTACAAGAAACTTAAGGAAATATGCCCACATCCATCAATCAATCTAAGGAGAAAATGACTACATCACGTATTTAATCAAATCATTCATTGGATAGACTTCATTATTTTGTCAAATTCTTAATTTGCTTTGACTCTCCAGATGAATTCATTTTAGGACTAATACAATAACAGCAGCTGTACAAAAATTTAAGCCGGCAACAAAACCATGCACCTAAACCTCACCACTGCCTTGCATCGTAAGAATAGCCAGTCATGAGGACAGTTATCCAGCAAGTATATGGAGTCCTTTGGTTCAGCCACTGTAAGGAGTCAAAATTAAAATCAAAATATCAGTATCAAGAAAAAGGCACCAAAAAAAAAAAAAAAAAAAATGTAAGGAAGTCAAAATTAAATCAAAAATCATCAGTATCAGAAAAAGGCACCAAGAAAAAAAAAAAAAAACAATTACGAGACCAATAGTAGTATGCAAAAGTCCAAAGTGTAAATTAGAGAGACTTAACGCAGTTACACCCAGGCACCCAACCCTTAGTTAATGAATTCCCCGCTGTCCAGTTTGTTCAATGCATCCTACGATTTATTTGGGTCATTTTCTGGGCTTTGAACCAGACTAACATGAAAAATAAATGAAATAGAACATTTCAGGAGAAGTTAAAACACAAGATATGAATACACAAAAGAACAAAGTCAAAATACACTTAGGATGCCAAGATCATATCTCCTTTAAAAAAAAAAAAAAAAAAACAATTACGAGACCATAGTAGTATGCAAAGGTCCAAAGTGTAAATTAGAAACTTACAGTTACCCAGGCCACCCCAACCTTTGTTAATGATTCCCCGCTGTCCAGTTTGTTCCAATGCATCCACGATTATTTGGGTCATTTTTTCTGGTTCTTGAACAGGCTAACATGAAAAATAAATGAATAGAACATTTCAGAGAAGTTAAAACACAGATAGAATACACAAAAGAACAAAGTCAAATACACTTAGGATGCCAAGTCATATCTCCTTTCAATACCATCAAGGAAGAAAAGAACAAACAAAAACTAAAAACAGATGTGATCTCAAGTATTCTTATTCATTAGGATGGTTCAGTTTTTCATTAATCAAATAATTAGACAAAGGACGCTCGTACTCCTACAAAGATTGAATCAGTGATTATGGTTTATTTCTCAGTTTAAATTCAAATCAGAGCTTGTACTGAAGTACATGAGGTCATTTATTGAAGTCCCAGATGTTCTATCTCCAAACAAGTGAGAATTAGAACCTATAAATCCAAGCAGTTAAAAACAATATCTTGTCAATTCTATGACAAATATACAGATTATTAGTGCTTCTACCAAACAAGGCAACCAACAAATACCATTCGAAGAAATTAAATAGCAGTATATGAAAGACTTCAAAAACTATTTCAGTCAGCATTTCCTTTCTGAATTCCAGCCACAAGCTTATATTCAAATTCAGTCCACTCCAACAAATCAAAAATAAAGCAATAATACTATATCTAGCCAGTAAATACAGGCAGTATTTTGTTATGTTCGTGAATTTTTTCATGCCCAACTTAAAAAGCAGCCAACAATCTCAAATCGGAAACAACCATATAGTTGTGCAGCCCTAAGGAAGCATAAAACTCAAGAATAAATTAATATTTCACTAAAATTAATGAAATAACCAAAGAGAAAGTTTAGAAAACAAGACTCACAAGGCTTCCAAATCCAATATAAATAGGTTTAGGGCCAGCTTCAAGCCATTTCACAAGAGACTCAGGAGGTTCATAGTTTGATGCTAGATCAAGAAAGCAAAATCCCACAACATCAACCTTTGGCCCCCAATCTGCAAACCAAGGAATAGATGCAAACAGAAATTAGCATCCTCCCATTGAGAATGATGTATGCTCAATCTAGCAAAAATAATGCCTAAAAGTTGTTCCTGTCAAAAAATGTGTATGAGTTTTTAAAAGAAAAGATATGCTACTTCAAGCAATCAAGACACTTCGAATAAAACCAACAAAGAGATCATCACTTCTTCAAATTAAATAAGTTTTTTACAAATTATCATATTTTTTTCCCTTATGGGTTCAGAGATCCCGATAGTTTTTTCTTTTTTAAGAGATTCATACTCTGTGGCTATATTAACGAGTTTTGTAATATGTTTGAATTTGACATTTTAGCTTATCTACAATTCTAGCCCTAAGAAGCTCATGTTAAGCTTGGTTAAAACTTAGGCCTAAATAGACACTTACAGCTCCCACTTTGTGCCTTGTTGCAATTGCACCCCAATTTGAACTTTTCGAAAACCACCCCAAAACCAACTAGGGTTAGGGTTTGCATTAAAAAAATATTTTTGAGGAATTCACAGCTGAGCTGGGTTAAGTTAACCTGAGCTCAGTTATGTTTCAATAAAACGACCCTGTTCTCACTCTCTCATCATGAAGCACTCCCACCTCAACCACAGTTCCCTGTTTGCCTTCCTATTGACGCATTAACCTTAACAACAATTGCATAAACCTTAACGCCAGCTAGCTATAATAATCACCTAAAGAAAACAACAACCACATAGCACATGCAGCAAACCCAAATGACACCATTCATGAAAAGGAAAAGAAACAATCCCTCTCCTCGTTAGCTCGATCTCTCTCATCTGCCTACCTAGAGTCTCCCCTCCCCCCTCTCCAGTCTCCTTACCAATAATCCATAGCTGCAGAATTTAGACCAGATCTAGACTCATTTTCTTGCAATCGTTGCTGATTATTATTGATCATTTGTTTCTATTCCTTCTCATCCTTTATCACGCACTCAATCTTAACCCCTCATTCTCTTCTAAGAGCTCTAGCGTCGTGGCAGCTCATTGTCCGGATAACCGATCTGGCAACCTGGTTGTTATCGGCAATGGATTCGATGGCATTCTGCTTATCTGCTTTTCTCCCTTTGATCCTGTTACCCAGGTCAGATTTTCAGGATTAGATGATCTTGAATTGGAATTGGAATTCTTGGTGTTCCTTGATGTAATGCACTTCTTCTGCATCTTCTTCCTCCTTCTGCAATAGATACTAAGATTTTGCGTTTGTGAGTTCTTCACCTTCTCGACTTTGATATTCGCCCATGTTTGGATTTGAGAGAGAGGTGAAGAGAAATTGAAATTTGCAAGGGAATTTTGAAATTGATTTGTGGGTCCGGTTGAATCTCAGACCACTTACTGCTGGTTTGGAGCAACAAAGACTGCAGATGAGATAGAGGAAAAGAAATCGAAGAAGGTGCTTAGCAATTTCCTTTCTTCTTTATAAGATATGGTGCGTTTTGAACATATATGAGCTTGGATTAAATTAACCAAGCTGAACTGTAGACCCTACAAAAACTTTTTTTTAATGCAAATATTAACCTTAATTGGGTCTTGGGTTGTAAAAGCTTTCTAAATTTCATCTTGAAGTGTGGTCGTTCAAAAGTACAAATTGGGTGCAATTGCAACAAGGTGCAAAATTGAGAGTGTAAGCGTGTATTAGGCCTTAAAACTTGAGGTCAACAAACTTTGTGCTAAATTTTTTGCAGCACTACCAAAAAACCCTTACCTAGAAACTTAAATAATAGTGCACGCAAAGATCTTTTTCTTTTTCACAGTTTTGTGAATCGCTCTAAAAAATTATTTGGAAGGGAAAAAGAAGTCTAGATTATTGGAAGATCTTACTATGATATCTTACTTGTTCCTCAACAATTAAATGACATCCTTTTTTGTGCATACCAAGCAGAGTCTTGAGGTTCAATGCCTAGAGTAGGCAAAAGCCACCAAAACAATAAAATCCCTAATCCAATCACTTAAGCTAGAAGTATTATCCATGCCAACAAATTAATGTTCTTTCATTTAAAAAGATAGGCCGAGGTTGTGAAGGAATATTCTTAAAGATATCCCAAGTAGCATTTCAATTTCTTTTTTACCATGTTCCACTCTATGTATTCCGCTGTCCATAGAGATGAAGATATTACCATTGTTATGTCAAAGAATATTTCCTAAATGATTGCTGAAAGCCCTAACGTTCCTAGCTTTCCCAGCCTTATTGGTTCAAAGAGTCAAACTTCCATAAGAGTAGTGAGTAGGTAAGGCTTAGTGAATTCAAACGAAGCAATCCCCCAACATGGGGCTGAGCATAATGTAAGATTGACACAACAGACAAGTTAGCTATAATAAAATCCTTCAAAAATATACAATCTCAAGAGAAAGCACCTTTTGGTTTCGGAACAAGGTGAGGACTCCATATGTACCCATGTGGCACATCAGATTCAGAGCCCTGCGAACCACTAAGATATGTGACAGGTCGTAGCTTTAGCTTTTTCTTCCTAACATCATTTATCATGTCCCGTATTCCAAGCCAAATCAACGAGTCAACTATTTGATATGAAAGCTGAAGAAATTGTACACACCAAATGCACTTGAGAAGTACCAGGAGTTGGGAAATTAAAGTACATCAAAAGAAGAAAGAGAGAGAGAGAGAGAGAGAGAGAGAGAGTGAGAAGCAATGGGCTCACTCGATAACCAGCTGCTTGCTTGACACGGGACAAAGGATGTGGAAATTCACTAGTTGGCCTGATGGAAAAGACCAAGCATTGCTTAGAGCAGTTTAGGATTATTCAGCATACCATGTAATACAAAAACTGATAATGATGAGGTAGAAAGCACAAAATTCTAAACTATAACAAATTAAATCAACAATTAACCCAGGTAGATTCCATTACCCAGACAAGACTTACGTCCATGGCATAGTGAAAAATATATGAAGCGGAATTTTTAGTGCCTCTGCCACATGAGTGTGTCCTAAAAAAGCATTTACAACGTCAGCTGCAGAATGGTGAACAAAAAAATTCTGCTATCATCCAACACAGCTTTCAAAAAGAATTGGGAACAAGTTTAACCATCATCCTTAATTCACATTAGAGAGGCATGAAATGGAAAAACAGATAGATCTTTCTACCATTTGTGAGAACATGAGAATATAACCTCCTTGAAAGCTACATCACTACTTGAAAGTTGAAACCATCATCAAAGTACTCAGGCAAGAATGCAACAAACTCTACCATCACGTAAAATTAGGGAAAAAGAGAAACCCTTTTTGACATAAAATTTACCAAAAAACTGAAGATAAACATTTTCATGCTTCTTTAAAAGTCAAAATCAGTGCAAAAAGTGAAACAAGTCGCAAGGCACTCATACACATCAGTACATTGGTGTAAGTCTTGTGGTTTATAGAGAAGAATTTTAAACAAATGAAACTTTGCGGGCTTTTTCAACTTTAGCCAATCATTTTAATTTTGTTACATTGTTGCGAATGATTAAAGATAGCAAATATATGTATACACACACACTATGTCAAATTGCTTCTTTTTTTCTCTCTTTTCTCATTTGCAGCCAATATTCTCCACCTTCAAACCACCACCCACCCCCACCCCCCAGGCGTAGGAGAGAGAGGAGGAGGAAGGGAGAGCAGGAGGAGAGTGGGAGAAACGCAACTTGGTGCTCACTTCTGATAAGTCGAGGCTTGCAAATTTTGCTTTGACACGGGGCTACAAGAAGGCACTGGTGAGAAATAAACACTTTAGTTGGCCCATGATACGGAAAAGACAAGCATTGCCTTATGAGCAGTTTTATGGGAATTATTGCAACCCCAATCACATTGTAATACACAAAACCATGATTAATGATTGAGGTAGAAAGCACACAAAAACTTTCTATAACACTATAACAGAAATTAATCAAAGCAATTAAACTTCTCAGGTTGTGATTTTCCATTACCCAGACAAGAAACTTACGTCATGGGCAAATAGTGAAAAATAATATGAAGCTCGGGATGTTTTTGTGCCTGCTGGCCACATTGAGTTGTGTCCTAGGAAAAAAGCATTATCACCAACGGTCAGCTGCAGAATGGTGAACAAAAAATATTTTCTGCTATATTCCAAACACATGCTTTCTCATAAAGAATTGGACAAGATTATAACATGCATATCTCTTAATTCACATTTAGAGAGGCATGTAATAGCAATAACACATGGTAGATCTTCTAGCATTTCTGTATGAGAGACATTGAGAATAATAAACCTCCTTGAATTAAGCCTATCTATCCTCACTTTGATACTAGTGAAATAACCATGCATCAAGATATCACAAGGCAAAGAACTGCCAACAAACAAACTAACCAGCCACGGGTATAGAATATAGGGGGAGAAAAAGAGAGATCCCTTTTTTGGATCATAAAATTTAGCCTAAAAAATGAAGATAAACATTTTCATGCTTCTTTAAAAGTCAAATTCAGTGCACAAAAAAAGTGAAACAATCGGCAAGGCAACTTCATAACACATTCAAGTACATGGGTGTAAGGTCCCTTGGATGGGTTCTATAAGAGAAAATTTAAACAAATGAAATGTTTTGCGCGGCATTTCAAACACTTTAGCCTCCAAATCATTTTAATTTATGTTATCAGTTGTTGCGAAATGTGGAATTATTAATGATTAGCCAAATAATCTAATGTATATGCGCCATCACACACTATGTCAATTGCTTCTATTTTTTTCTTCTCTTTTCTTCATTTTGTCATGCTCAATTAATATCTACACGCCTTAAAGTAGTCTAACTCGACCACATCGTCACCAATCGTCATCCTCAGCCCCAAATTCAATTTCTTCATCGCATTCTCAAGCACACTTGACACCAACAATCTAATTTCCAAGTTGTCGTGAGCGTAATTGTATGTCTAGCATAACCGTAAATGAAAAAGGGGGAATTAAACTATATTTGTTCTTTCATTCAAGATTTCCACCAGATGATAACCTCACATAGCTATCTTTAGAATCATTATTATAATCTGAGTCTTCAATACAAGCAAACACCCCCCAGCCCCAAATTCATCCCCACCACTCAAGCCACTGACACAAACAATCTATTCCAAGTTCGAGGAGATGATGCTAGCAAACGAAAAGAAAAAGGGGGATTAACTTATGTTTCTTCATCAAGTTCACCAAAGAGCAAACCTCATAGCTACTTGAATCTTTTAATTCTGTCATTCAATCAACAAACTCCCAGCCTCCCTCAATCTTGATTTGCCCATAGCTTAAGAAAAGAAGGAAAAAAAGGAGAGGGAATAAAAAATCATCAAAACTTCACCAACAGGGGCAGGATAAGGGGTGGGAAAAGGGGAGAGGTGAGGAACCAAAATGAAATCAGAAAACTCCAAACTTCCTCGTGACAGGTAGGGAAAGAATATCGAGCAATCAAAAGCAAGTTAAATCACTTTAACTAGTCAATAGTGATAACAAATATTTAAAACATAAAAAATGTTATTGATGCAAATCATATTCCTAGGCATTTTAGGAGTACTTATTTTAGGAAAAAAAATATAAACATAGAGAGTAGAAATTAGTGATTTTGTAAAAAAAAAAAAAAAAGATCTTTCTATCACTTGTTAAGAATTCCTAATGACACAAAAGCAGACACAAATATCATTACTAATTCATAGTAATCATTGCATAATTGTGAGAAACAAATGCTGGAGAAAGTTTTTTTTTTTTACCAGAACTCAGAATGTTATGAGAGACGAAAGTTGATTAAGTCCTACCATATGCTGGAGGATTGGCTATTATTGCATCAGCCTTAAAAGGGATTCCAGAATCCATATCAGGGTCCTTGCAAGCTGGAAGCAAGGAGTATATGATTTCCTTCATTTGATTTCGTTGAACAGGTATCTCTGAAGGCCCCGATGGCAAGAAGCCTTTATTTTTAACCATGTCTGCCCAGGAGAAGTAATTCAATTAACGAAAAGTTATTGATGAAACCAAACAACCAATTGACAAATACACGATGCAGACAACCACAATGCGGGGGAATGAAAGATGATATCAATACATTTAAATAGTTAACCCTTCAAGGTAAAATGGTACATACAGCCAGCAAGAACTTTTGGATCTCCACCTAAAGGGTAAAACTCCAACCCAGCAGTCAAGACAAACTCTTTGAAATTTGAATGAGTTGCTAGCCTAACACGATGACCATAATCCTGCACACAAATATTCTAATAAATGAACAGAAAATTCTTCAAAAGGTGAAGTCCCAAAAAGGTGCAAAAACAATAATTTAATTTCAGATTACTTCCTTTTTGTTCACAGATATAGGAAATAAGCACAAAGCTTTCAATAACTGGAGCCCTTAAGAAATAAAAATTAAGCTTAGAGTTACTTCCTTTTCATAAATAAGCAATAAAAAATGTTTTTCATTAATTACTATTCCGCGAAGAACTTGAGACAGCATAACCCAATGTACATGTGTAAATAAAAATCATAAAAAATGGTGGATCTGTGAACAATAATGCTTAGAGATCCAAGGCCATGTTACAAAGATTGATGGGAAAATTAATATAATAATATAAAAAGAGCCTTCATTGTGAATAGCATAAGCAAACATACTGCATACAGTTGTTCAATAATATTTGACTAGCAACAGCAAACAGGAGGGGGAGGATACTGTTATTTTTTTCTTTTTTTTTTTTTTTTTTCATTTTTGACTGTTTATTATTTTTTCTCGTGGTTTTTTTTTTTATATTTTTGGGGGGGGAGGGGTGTGGGGGGGGCGGGGGAGGGAAGTGTTAGAGCACGAGTAACGATGTCCAAATTACCTGCGAGCTGTTGTTTTCCCCATTATGCTATGAAAAGGCTTGCACATGCCCACGTGCTAACCAACAATAAAAGCATTACTTAATGATTTGGCGAGGCGGGGAGAATATACTCGAATATCTGTTGCATGGGGAGGGATTTAGAGAGAGTACGATGCAAATTAACCTGCAGCTTTTTTCCAATTGCTATGAAGGGCTGCACATCTCCACGTGTACCAACAATAAGCATTACTATTTGCAGCGGGGGAATATACTGAATATCTGTTGCATCAACAGGCTCATCATCAGTAACTGTATTATATACATCATCAGATCCAATTCCGAGAGCTCGGGCTTCAACATCTCCTGGAACTTCAAATTCCACAGTTCCGTCATCTTTGACAGTGGCTATTCTTTTCAACAATTGAAGCTGCACAGTTTCAATAGAATCAAATAAAAACCCAAGTATAGTTGCATCAGCAAAGAAGCTATTCATTTCAAGATTTACGGTTTTAAACGAAAAAAGATATAAGCACTTATGTATAGTTATAATCAAAACCAAGTCAAGACACTAACAATCATTCTTCAACAATTATTTAAGCCCAGACTTTAAATCATAAATAAGAGAAATAATCAAAATCAAATCCTCATTTACTAACAAATATTATCTTTAGAGATTATGCACCAAAGCTCCCTAATTATAGTGAAAATCACCAACAACATGGAAACTGATGGCATCACAGGTGATAAAATTTTAAATGAAGAAAAGTATTATGTTTGATGAGTAATACCTTCTGCTGGACAGGAATCTTCTCATCAAATATTTGTTTTGCCTCTTCAGCAAGTATATTATGATGCCTTTGCCTTTCAGTTTTAGATCTTTCTAGCTTAAGCTCACTTGAAGTAGGTTTTAGTTCGTTAGCACCAGAAACTTCAATCTGTGAAGGGTTTAATTTAGATGTACTTTTGCCAGCAATCCCTAAAACAAAAGAAAAAGCCACAGTATATCACAAATTTAAGCCCACACAAACAAGAAGCCAATTCTCCAAGGAATATTGAATTATAATACAATACGTCATCACAGCATACAGCCATTACCACAATGATTACAAAGTGAGATTCAAAAATTTATGTCGAATTAATTACAGAGGTACACGTCTACATGAGCATGAAAAACTTCACTTAACTCTCCCATGATTCTTAGCACATACCAAAGCATATTCATACATTAAAATAAGTATGTCGATTTAATTACAGAGGTAAACGTCTACATGAGCATGAAAAACTTCACTTAACTCTCCCATGATTCTTAGCACATACCAAAGCATATTCATACATTAACGTCTACATGAGCATGAAAAACTTCACTTAACTCTCCCATGATTCTTAGCACATACCAAAGCATATTCATACATTAAAATAAGTATGTCGATTTAATTACAGAGGTAAACGTCTACATGAGCATGAAAAACTTCACTTAACTCTCCCATGATTCTTAGCACATACCAAAGCATATTCATACATTAAAATAAGTATGTCGATTTAATTACAGAGGTAAACGTCTACATGAGCATGAAAAACTTCACTTAACTCTCCCATGATTCTTAGCACATACCAAAGCATATTCATACATTAAAATAAGTATGTCGATTTAATTACAGAGGTAAACGTCTACATGAGCATGAAAAACTTCACTTAACTCTCCCATGATTCTTAGCACATACCAAAGCATTATTCATACATTAAAATAAGCAAAATCTGTTGTGTTTCATACTCTACCGACATTTCTCATAGGAATTAGCTAAAATAATAAAACACCAAAGTGTGCTGAAGGAGCTTTTATTCAGTTCAAGAAAAAGCTTTCATAATAGTGCAAGGTACTTCGTCTTCTCCCAGTGACTACCATAGGTTAAATCTTTGCCGGCCAATATCCTTTGAAATTTACTGAAGTCAACATGCGTCAACATGCTGCAACTAGCCCATGACTCCTAAGCTACTAGATGAATACACCTTATTAAAGAAGATTAAAGGTAATAGGTTGCCATTTCCATTAAAATCCCACTTGGAGAAAAATGTAACTGAACGGGTACCAGAATTCAAGAAACCTGTTTGACCATGCTTTTTATTAGACCATCTATACTACGTCTCCATCTTAAATCATTTCGTACAATCTATTAGACTATTTCCATATAATTAAAATTAAAAAAAAAAATACTATATCAAACGTATTACAGTGACTGACTGATCAACAAAAAATAAGATATACTTCATGCACTTAAGAAACTGTTGGCAAGAAGAAATTTAACAGACAATTCAACTCATTAATTTTAATTAATAAATTAATAAAAATGGAAATACGAAAAAACAAACAGTTTCAGTTGATAGTTTGATTAGAACAAAAAAATAGAGTCAAACTCAACTGAATTTCATTTGATAGAGCAAAATTCAAGAAACCTGAAGAATCCGGGCCTCCATTGGTCACTGAACCAGCAGCCGCTGCTGTACCCTCAAGTTCTTTGCCTTCAGTGCTAGTTCCAGCGCCAAGTTTCCGCTCGATCCTCACCGAAACCTCGCCGGAACTCGATGAAGAAGAAGAAGAAGAAGATCTCCGGCGATTCTCCGGCGACTCTACCATGGCCGCCTTAGTTTTATTCGTGCCTTCGATCCGGATCTGTGGAACTTTCCACAGACAGAGAGTCTAAGTAAGTTGCGTATGTGTTTGGATTCCGATAGAGTAGCGGATTTCGAGGGATACTCTTTTTCTTTTTTCGTTCTTTCTGGGAGTGACACAGAGAGAGAAAGCACGTTCGACGGAGTGGGTGACGGGTCTGTGAACGGCCCTGTTAGATTCGAATGCTGGACACGTACGCGAAGTGTCCAATAAATGGGCATTTTGGTCAATTAACGCTGTCCCCATATGCACTTGATGTTCTTTTTCGATCGTTGTCAATTAATGGTCCGACGATCATGAATTTATGACCTGACGGGATTATGCGATCTGTCGTTTCTAATTCGCACAAGCCAGTCATTTCTTAATTGAGCTGCGCCAGACAACCTGTCTCCGTCATTTCCGCGATGCAAGACGAGATGTCGCTCTATAATCCAGCCTTAACCACATCGCACATGCCGTTGCAGTTAGACAAGATCGTAGAAGTCCAAGCCTTGCGTTTCTCAAACAGGCTAAATGATAAGTCGTTTCCTAGTAAGATTTCCCACTTGGACAATGTATTACGTGTTTGTATGTATAAATATTGTCTTTAGCAAAGTAACATTTTAGATTATAGAGCACATATAATTACTTCCTTTTACGAGAAACACACGTAGGAGACAAGACTCATTCTATCAAAATTATAGCAATTTTAATAAAATATAATAACACATATATCTTATATATGCACACTTCATAGGGGTGTGCAAATGGAACCGAACCAAATAAAAAAAAAAATCAAATTTAGCTTTTTATTAAAATCAAACTCGAATTCTTGAAAAGTGAGATGGTATGACAAAAATCATTTATTCCTTAACCAAAAGTTTTGAGCTCAAATTTTGGGTATAGAATTCTTTTAAATACTCGGGAGAAAGCGGGCGGGAGGGGGCACTTTGCCCTCTATATGTAAGTCTACCCGTCACGATTCCAAATTAGTCGAGTCAGTAGACTTTGGACACAGGATGAATCAAATCACAGAAACGATTCAGATTTACTTAGAAAAATAATTATTTTTGCAATAAACGATCCAAATACCAAAAAACAAAATTATTGAATATCAAAATGGTAACCAAAAACCAAGAATAGTTCGATTTTATTTTTCTAAGTATGTTGACCCTTGCACCAGAAGCTATGTAGAATCGGTGAAGACTTTTCAACTCTCCCAGCAAGTGCAGCAAGTATTTTTAGTGGGAATCGAATTTAAAAGTTTAGTGAAAATGGAATCCAAGAGCTCTTACAACATATCCAGCCTGTGTTGTCAACTGAGCCAAAGTCCGTAAGCATTGATAATTTTTTTTAATAACTCAACTCAGTAAATATTTGGTTAAAAAAAACTCAATAAATATGTATACAATTGGTTGTAAATAGTTTTTTTAGAAAGAATTAGCTATTTTTACTGTTAAAAAAAAAAAAAAAGGAGAAGAAAGAAACAGAGAATTAGCTTTTTAGTTTTAACTTATTTAGTTTTTTTAGTTTGTTCATTGTAAATTTGATAAAGTGAACTGGCATGGCTTTGTATTTTAGATTAGTGAACAAATCTTTGATCCTTTGGAAACAGCGTGGCCTCTCTTTCCACTGGAGAGACAGTAGAGGTATCAGATTTTTAGAGGAAAAGGGAATTGGGTTTGGAATTGCTTTGTTGTCTTGTTCTCTCATAGGTATTTATATCAAGTATTTTCACTTAATTTTTTTAGGTTATAACCGAGTGTTTCCGAGAATCTATTTATTCGGGTTAAATTAATTGAATAAGTTAGATTTTTTCTAGTCAGGGAAAAAAAAAAAAACAGCGATTCAAATCTTGGTCTAGAATAATTTTTAAGACACCTTTAACCATTTTGACTCCTCCTTTTTTCATAATATTATTTTAATAAATTTTTATAGTAATTTGCCCCTTTTTTATAAATCGTCTCTGCTCCTGGAATGTTTTATTATAATAAAATAAGTTAGTTTGATAAAAAAAAAAAAATTGTTTTGTTGTTTTATTTCCTCTTTTCTGATAATTTGTTTGGAAGGAGTCTCTCTATCCCTTGTTCAAATTAAAGAAGTACTAATTTCTCTTCTCATGTATAGACGTCCTGAAATTGGAATTAAGGATATAAACATCTTGTGACAGTCGAAATTTTTGTTAATAAGATTGAGGTAATTATAAATTTGGTTTCTAGCTTTTAAATTTTTATAATTTGGTATTTAGAAGAAATATTTTTATATTTAAATGTCTAAAATATAAAAGTTTTTTATCACAAAATGACTAGCATGGCAATCGTTTCACCACTTGTTGAGATGGAATTGGAACTCTTAGTTGGACTATTTAGTATTTACACGTGAAAAACACTTTATTAAAAAAAAAAAAAAAACATAAATGCCCCATTGTGAAAATTGGCAAAGAGAATCTAATTCTTCAAGAAAAGAGTTTGACTAATAAAAGATAAGATAAAATTGATTGGCTAAGAGTTTCATTATAAAAAGAGTTTTCTGATCAGGTCAACATTTTAGATTAATTATGTTAATTGAAGATTTGAAGTTGTTTAGCTGTGATTATTATTTATCAATATCAATGTTTTAATTGGGTATGTTCATGAGCTTGGGACCGTATTTGGATCCGAGACATCGAGCCCATCGAGGCCGACGTGGCCTAGTCGTTAGCCGTACGTGATGACGTGTTGCAAAATGTGCATGTGGACAGGACAGTGGAACTACCTTGTACTTGTACAATGTACATGTAATTCTAAAGTTTTGAACTTTTCCAATATTATTAAATTCTTTTTAATTTTCGAAAAAATATTATTTTAATCCATTTTGTCCATTTGTCGTTTCAGATTTGGGAGGGTAACATATTCAAACTTCCAAAGGGTGAGTCCACGTAGGAAAGAGAAAAGGAAACAAAAATTCATAAAATATAAAAATAATGAAATTTAAATATTTTTTAATCATTTACAGTTAAAAAGATAGGTTTTTAGTTTTTAGTTTCTCTCGTGTCGATGACGCTGATTTCTCGGCAATGTCGCTCTTCTCCAAATTTCCATGCCGGAGCGATATTGATCCTCCTACAGGCGTAAGCCACCCCTTCCTTTTCTTCTCTTCTCCTCTATTTTTTCCACTTTCAAAAAAATCGAAGTCAATGTCCCTTCTCTTACGTTTGGATCCTGGCAATCAATTATTCTCTTCCATGCACCAGGAATGGCAGCTCAGGAGCTCAACAGAACCAGACTCAATGAATGGAGAAATATAGAGAGAGAAAGAGTAGTCGTAAAGAGGTTTTTTTTTTATAAAAATACAAAACACCATAAAAAAGCAGATACGTAGTTTTTGCACCTTTTTCCTTTCCAAATTACAGGTATTTTGTTAATACGAGCTGGATTTTGATCTTTTTAGGTCTCATGTACATAATGTTAATTGGAGATCGTGCGATATTGGATGGATTGGCTTTTACTGATTCCCATAAAATTAATTTTGCCGTTTGGATCTGCGATATTTGTGATTGTGAATGTAGTTAGTGTGGTTGGAAACAAGGAAATGGAAGTCTGATTGGGTATAGAACAGATGCATACCTCAAGTTTTTCATTTCGGTTTTTGAAGTTCCAATTGTTTATTGTACATTGAATTTTTAAAATAGAGGGGATTTTTTTAATTGTGTAAAGGTTTGGGGTTTGATTTAGATTGGAGTTGGTACTAGCTTGCAAGCACTCTGTCCACATTGATTTGATTTGATTGTGAACTTAGGAACTGTGTTTATGGTTTGATAATGGCCATTACAGTATGGAGGTATATTTGATATTATGAAAGTTGAATCCCGTTGCTACGGTGTATTAAAATTGAATTTGAATTCGTGTTGGGGAGATAAGGAGCTGGTTCGTTCTGTGTTCTTGATTTTCTGGTTGCAGAGGTTAATTAATAGTGCCTTAAATTGGAAGAGCAATGTTCTTATCCTTTTAATATAATTATTAAATATCGCAAAAAAATCTGCGGATTCAGCAAACAGAGAAGTATCTAGTCCCTGCAGTCAATGGGTCCAATAACAGGGATCAGCACCTTTTGTCCCCAAGATAGGAAAAATGCACATAATATATCTGTGCAGACGGGCGAGGAATTTTCTATGCAATTCCTCCAGGATCGTGTGACCACTAGAGGAATTCCCCATCCCCCTCCACTCAGTCCAGCTCAAAATTGTGAAAACAGAGTTGCACATATTGATGATCAAAACTATCAACGGGGATATGAGGATCTTGCCAGTATACTTGGGTTGAGGAGAATGGATTCTGAATCTGCTGATGATATTTCTAATTTTGTGTCTGCAAAAGGTTCTTTAAGAGAGACTGAAAGCGGGGCTTATGTTGACAAACTAAAAAGGCTGAACGTGGAAGATGGAGATAGTATACATAGATCAGGAAAGGCTTTTGGAGAATTGAGTTGTGATAGGAGTGCTGGCTTGGGTTCATCTGCTTCAGCTGTTCATGCAATAGAATCCCCTTCTTTTAATAATTTTGATGGGCCAAGTAATTTGGATAGATCTCAACCAGGAAAGATGAAGTTCCTTTGCAGTTCTGGAGGGAAAATTTTGCCAAGGCCTAGTGATGGGAAGCTCAGATATGTGGGAGGAGAAACCCGCATTATCTCCATTTCTAAGAATCTTACATGGGAAGAACTTGTCATGAAAACGAAATGTATTTGCAACCAACCTCACTCCATCAGGTATCAACTTCCAGGTGAGGATCTTGATGCTCTTATATCAGTTTCTTCTGATGAAGACCTTCAAAACATGATAGAGGAATACCATGGGCTTGAAAAGCTCGGAGGTTCTCAAAGGCTCCGAATATTTTTGATTCCTTTGTGTGAATGTGAAAAGTCATCACCTTTTGAGGCAACTACCATCCAACAAAATAGCCCCAGTTACCAGTTTGTTGTTGCTGTAAATGGCATCTTAGATACTACTCCTAAGAAAAACTCAGGTGGGGATTGTTCAACTAGTGAAGCCAGTCAACCGGAAAGTATTTTGGATTGCAATTCAGGCTTTCGTAAACATTCTCCATCTCCTTTTTCTCCTTTGGAGATGAAAAATGGTTTGAGTGCATTTTTTCCTCCTAAATTTTCAAATGAATCCCCCAGATCTCCCCATCAGTCTCCTCCTATTTCTCCAATTCCTCTACAGCATCAAGATTCTGCGAATTCTCACAAAAAATTGCATTGTAATAACTCCAGTGTCGAGAACAGTAATTCCTGTGCCTCTGCTCAGTTTCCACCTGATAATTGTAGCATGAACCAACCCTCTCAGGGTCTAGGTGCTTTCATGAATCATTGTCATCCCTATGTTGATGTTGTTCAGTCACACCAACAACATGGGGTGCAATCCCACAATCATAACCTTGACAAACAACTTGCAACCCCTTGGGCTTTTAATTTGAGGGAAGGTAGTTTTGATGATTTATATTTCGAGAGGCTTATGCATAAGGAAAGGGCATTCCATTCTGAGAAGCCTTTCTTGGGCATGGAAGATCCTACAGGCCTATCAGCATCTATGAACTCCATTGATTCTCATTATGGCATGCCACATGCCTTTTCTGATTCAAAACTACAAGAGCATGGGGGTTTGTCTGCCTACTGTTCTCAAGAGGGAATGAGTCCATCATCTCCCTTGAACTTTGCCAAGACTCAGTTATCTTCACTAGTCTCAAGTTCTTCACAAGAAAAGCTAGTGCAACTGCATGAGAACAATAATGTTGTCAATCCTACTCTGCAAAATAAGTTATCAGACATTGAGTCTACTAAGTCGTGCAGCAGGTTGGATTTGCTCAATTTTTCTTCATGCTCAGAATCAACAGGAAGGGATAAACCTATTCAGAAAGCTACTGTCGATGCTGATGACCAATGCCAAATTACAAGCCATTGTGAGGAATACTTGTTAAGTTCAGAAATGATGAATGCATTTGACAGAAGTAATCCAGGTTTTCATCAAAGTGAAAAGCCTTTTGTGGAGAAATTACGAGCTGCTGGTACTGAATATGAGAGCAAATTTGAAGATAGGCTCACTGCATCACCGGGCATTAATTCCAAATCTTCTGTAAATGACTTCATGGAGCACTCCCACAACTACCAAGCCCCTTCTAATCTCCTACTGATGGACCAGGGGAATGATTATAATCAGTATTGTAGTTTGAAAGGAGAACTGAATAGTGAACAAGGAAGCCACATAACAAAGACTGGCAGGCTAGATGTTGAGGAGTTATTTAGCATTTGTCAACTGCAGCCTCACAGTGAAATTTCGTCAGTTGATCTTGTGTCTGGGGCATTAAACCATCAATTTTTTCATGAATCATCACGAGTTCAACCTATTGAAAGCCAGAATATGGATAACAAAGACTCCTTGCTACTAAGCCCTAAAATCCCATCTAGCTTCTGTGAAGATTCCTGTCCAAATACAAACGCAAATGACTTGCATTGCAAAACTAATAATGTTACGAAGGATGCGTTATTTGAAAGAAAGGTTTCTCACCTTGTTGAGAACTATGGAAGTTACCTTGATCAAAAGGTTGAGCAGTTGGGTTTTGGAGGACCTGCTTATGATAAGTCAAATATTGGGGATCTTATGTTGGCTCAGATAAAATCATTAAGTAAAAATCAATATCAAAATCTATGGGAACCATTAGTTACTGGGGAAGCTGCTACACCTCTTACTGCTCAATCTTCTGATGCAGTTCCACATGTTGCCAATCTTGTCAGTGATGATTTTAGATCAACTACAATAACTGAGGCAGAAAGCATTATGCCACATGTTGCTGTGTATGTCACTGATCCAACAACTAGTGACTTTGTGGCTCCTAGCTCAAGAGGGTCAGACAGTATCATCCCACATGTTCAGCCACCTGTTGCCAATCCAACCAACAGTGATTTTATATCGCCTATTGCAACAGTAGATGAAAGTATCATGCAAGAAACTGAATTTGAGGTAAAAATTGCTGTTTTTTTGGTGTGTGTAGTTTCTAGTTTTATTCTTTAAATATTTACTTCTAGTCTTAATTTGCAGCTTGGGTTTGTTTACAGGACATAAATGATGATGATGGAAATAAGGATACATCTATTAGTGACGCAGTGATGGCTGAAATGGAAGCCAGCATATATGGCTTGCAGGTTATGCTCTAGTTGTTAATTACAGTTTTTCTGTTTTTAATATATTTATTTGCAAAAGTACAAATTCTCACGCTTGAAACAATTATATTTGTGCTGAATTTTGACTCTCTCATCACAAGATTACACATAAATATTTAATTTGAAATTAAAGTTGCATCCTAGGAAGTAGTAACTGAAAATTTTTAGCGATAGAATTAGATAAACTGCTTAATTTTGATATGTTCTTCCTGTCTATACCAAGTCATACATAACTTTATCAACTTGGCTGTTTCCCATAGCGCATGACAACTATTGCCAAAAGAAATTAAAAACTACATATCCTTCTTTTTTATTGTCTAACAACAGGGGATTTTTCACCTATAAATTGGCTACTGGATCTCTGTGAAAATAGGCTGTAGTGGATGGAGCATGGTTGACAAGTTTTTTTGTGCAACTTCCTTGATGTGTTGATGAAGTCATATTGGCTCCTACGATTATGGGGCATTTTATTGCACATCCTATGTGATTCTGAATCTCTGGATCGTATATGTTAGCCCTTTCTCTCTTTATGTTTTGCATGTAGTTATCATTTTTAAGTTAAGATAGGCCTACAGTTGGAAGCCTATTTTTATTTATGACAAACTGGGGCAGTGTTTTGACTTCATCTTATGATGCAAGTTCAATTTATACATTTGCTGGTTAGATGAGTACCCAGTACATTTTATCTTTTGTTGAAATCCTAGCTCTGCGGCATTTGTCATTATTCAGCATTTTGAGTCATCAAAAATGTGCAATATTTTGCTTTATTTCTCTTTTACATTTATGTTTAGTTGATTTAACTGAAGTTTCCTAACATTGGTATGCAGATTATAAAGAATGCTGATCTTGAAGAACTAATAGAATTAGGATCTGGTACTTATGGCACTGTCTACCATGGAAAATGGCGGGGAACAGATGTTGCCATTAAAAGAATTAAAAAGAGCTGCTTTTCAGGGAGATCGTCAGAGCAAGAACGTTTGGTAAGTTTCTACTATATATTTCTTATAAGTGTTCCTAGTAACAAATATGGATAGCATTTTCCTATGTGTACAGCCACTGAGACTGAAGTGTGGGAGAACATTGTATGGATTAGTAAATGTTCTAAAGCATATGTCTATAGTCTGATTTCTGAAGAAATGTTGTTTCCATCTGCTTTCAGTTTCGCAGGTGTTTGATGTTGATTTTAAGATATGTGGGACTTGCATGCCAGTTAAAACTTTAACAATCAAATTAGCCATTAGACCAGGAGAACAGTTGTTGAATATTATCAGTAGCGGAGATTATTTATCTGGTCATTCTTCTTGTTATCTGACATGAAGATTTGCCCTGCCATTGTGCTGCCATCTCTTTTGCACTTTCAAAGATCTAATTTATGTGTTCACATTATAATTATGCTTTCTTATCTTAGTTATGGTTGTGATAATTATCTTGATATGCTCCAAAAGTATTTTTGTGGAAAGACTTTATAAAATGTAAAAAGTTGTGAATTGTCCTTGTTCACAAATTTTGACTACACAAACAAAGGAGCAAACAAATTTTTTAGGATCATGAGCTCCCTAAAATTTCGGAACATAGGTAGCACATAACCATAATGGAGAATGAGGGAAGAACAAAACATCTGATTAATTGAACCGTGCTGGTGTTTAGGAAATTACTGATTTATGAACTTGTTTTAATAAGTAATTGATTTGAGTATATCTGGTATTTAGTGGAGAGAAACCAAGAGGAGAAAGGATGAGGAATTCATTGTCACTTTGAGTATGGTCTTCTATATGGATTTTGCTTTTTAATTATTCAGTCTTATATAAAATTGATGGTTCATTGATTGAGCAGACAAAAGACTTTTGGAGGGAAGCACAGATACTCTCAAATCTTCACCATCCAAATGTGGTTGCATTTTATGGGGTAGTTCCAGATGGGGCTGGAGGAACCTTAGCAACTGTAACTGAATATATGGTGAATGGATCGCTTAGACATGTCCTACTCAAGAAGGATAGGTAATTCAATCTGTTTTATTGTGCATCTGCATCTTCTAGTTATACTTGTAATTTCATGGCCTTGTTTTTGTTTTATGCAGATCACTTGATCATCGTAAGAAGCTCATAATTGCCATGGATGCAGCTTTTGGCATGGAATACTTGCACTCAAAAAATATTGTCCACTTTGATCTGAAGTGTGACAATTTGCTCGTCAATCTAAGGGATCCCCTACGACCCATATGCAAAGTAAACAGTTCAAATCCTACTGCCAACTCAGTTGATTCAAAGGATATAAAAATAAAGACTATGACTATGAGAGGCTAACGAAACAAAAAAAAACCATAACTTCTATGCAATAATAATTGTGAATTTCTAGATGTTCCTACACAAGGTGCACTTCAGTTAGGATTTTCTGATTTCAAGTATTGAATATTCCTTTTTTCCCCCTTATTTTCAGGTTGGTGATTTTGGACTCTCGAGAATCAAACACAATACTCTTGTATCTGGTGGTGTGCGAGGGACCCTTCCATGGATGGCACCAGAATTGTTGAACGGAAGCAGCAGTCGGGTATCTGAGAAGGTTAGTTGATCCTCATCGTTCTATGTCTTGCTAATATGAATCCAGTTATATGGCAATCATGATAGTGGTATTTTGTTGGCCAGATTGATGTTTTCTCATTTGGCATTTCATTGTGGGAGATCTTGACTGGGGAGGAACCTTATGCAGATATGCATTGTGGTGCAATCATTGGTAAGTGTGTGTCTAAACCTAGTATTGATTCTTCATTGGAAATCTACATATGCAGTGGTGGAAAAGACATTTTGCTTTTCCTTGTACATTCATTAGGAAATAGAATCACCATTGCTCTATCAGTACCAAATGACAATGATAAAAATTGCAGTGGAATCTTTTTCTTGTATCAAAGTTGTTATGGTCTGTATAGAGGCTAAAATATTGGATAAGAATTTAAACTTGCCTAATTTTTTTCAATTGGTTCAAATAGAACCATAAAAAATTTAAAGGTTGCATCCTAATTAGGAAAATACCTTTTTTGCCTATTATTTCTTTTTTTACTAAATCAGTAAATATTTTTTAGTTTTAAATAATCAAAAAGTTGTCTTATCTTTTTAACTGTTATATAGATGTATATACTCATCACTGAAACCAGTAAATCGAAGCAAATTCATAGCTAAAAACCAACAAAAAAAGTAGAAACAAAATATATAAAAAAAATGAAGCCACCCCATCTAATTCATGGTTTTGCGTAAATGGACAAACACACGCACTAGGATTAATAAATCAATCCTAATTGCTATCCTCTTTCAATAAGATCACGGCCATACACAGAGTATTACTAACCGTGGCGAGTCCTCTTAAGTTAAAAGATTGGGTTTAGCAATCATCTTCACATTATTGAACTGGGCAAAAACCTGATGGTGCTTCACATAATTACTAGATCCAGTTCTTCTCTTCAGCAAATTGAGCTGTGTTATGTTGCATAGAGGTTGGTGATGGACATATCAGTGGCCAGAATTTGGATTGGATGATCCATGCAGTGCAGTAGGAGTTTGTAGACTTCTTAAATCTCTTTCTCTTGGTTTCTTTTTGTTTTCATGCATTGATCTTCTCTCTGTTTGATGTGTTTTCTGTGTTAGATAACCCTTTTTTTTTTTTGTTTGGTTGTTTGTTTATATTCTTGTTTGTTTGTTGAATTTTATTGAAGGCGGGATAGTGAAAAATGTTCTTCGACCTCCTATTCCGGAAAGTTGTGACCCCGAGTGGAGGAAGTTGATGGAACAGTGCTGGTCACCTGACCCTGATTCTCGGCCATCATTTACTGAGATAACAAATAGGCTTCGAGCTATGTCTATGGTGCTTCAGGCAAAGGGACAAAATATTCAGACAAGACCAATGAAGCCAAAAGTACCAACGAATCAATAGTGTACATAAGGGCAGCTCTTTCTATCTTCAAGCACCGGGATTGGCTAATTCTCTCTTGTATAGAAGCCCCGTGGTGTAAAGATGAGAACTTTTGATGGTGAGCATGAGTATATATAGTTTATAGATTTACTGTTGATTGTGATTTCTGACCTTTGATAATGAAATATCTTCATTTGTTTATTCTTTTGTAATAGAAGTACCTGCACTGAAATATCTCCATTAAAACTCCCAGGTGATCTGCATGTAGTTTTTATATTTTTACCCATGTTTGCAATGTTCTCTCATTAGAAAGAACCTGCAAATCTGGAGTTTTAAGTACTCAAAACTATTATTGGATTCTAAATGATATCTGTTATTAACTTGTTTGTAAATATAGCCTGGTGGAATACCCACCCTAAAACAAGGAAATAAAGTGTCTATTTGATAAAAGTAACTGTTTGATAGCCGTTAGCTGTTTTAATAGTATTTAGCTGTTAGCTATTTGAGCAGCTTTTTATGCTTAACGTCGTACGAGTCAACTTTTACAAATACTATTTTAACCTCTAAAAATTAGTTTAAACATTATATTAATTAAAACGTTAAAAGCTACTTAAAAAGCTGTTACTAACCACAGCTAAAGTGAGAAATTAGATGCTAATTTTCAACTAATTGGAAATAAATAAAAAAATTTGCCAGCCAGCCATAACAATATCAATGAAACTTCAGTTACAGTGACTCGGTCTAGATTTTCCTTGTATGAATCTCTTGTAACTTAAGGTAAGAAAGTATTTGGTGTGCTAATACTACTCCCCTTACTCCAAAACCTGCTTGTCCTCAAGCGTGAATCGTGGAGAAAGTTCTTTCAGAGATGCAGACAGATGGTTGTTTATTTATATCTTTTACTTAGAAAAATTCTCCATTATTGATTAGTATATGTTTTTTTGGTTTAGATTCGAAGAGAAGCTAACATGGCTATTTACTTTTTCGTTGGAGTGATTATTTCTCTTGCTCGTTTTCAGAGATTTGAAAGACCGTCTATCATTGCATTGAAGCTATATTGCTTTTTGATTTAATTAAATAAAGCTTCGAGCTCCTTTTCTCAAGTGAAAAAACCCTAATCATTTAAATATTTTTAAAAATAAGTAAATAAAATAATAAATAAACAGGAAAGCCATCTGTGGAATTATAAATGGTTGACCGTTGACCACGAGTTTTCGCTTTCTTTTTTTTTTTCAGGAAAAAGCAAGTATTAGTCAGTTTGACTTCCAATTTTTCTGTTCTAAAAAAGTCAATTTGACGTCCAAGGGTGTTTCACACTTAACACGCTAGGGCCATTACTTCCAAGGCTGCCCTAACCAAAAAAAGCAAGAGAGCTTTTTTTTTTAATAACAAGTGCTATTTGTTTAATGTTTACGTACCACGAAGAATAGTTTTGTTTCACTTTATGTACCACAAAATCAAATTATACAAGGATTAAAAAAAAATCATTATACGAGTTTAATTTTAGAAAAAAGTAGTTATAATTTACTAATACCCTTTTATTAAAATTTTAAAGAGAGAAAAACATTTTTATAAATATTAATGTACTATATATATACAGAGAAGTAAAGAGTGCCATAAAATAAAAAATTACAAATTATTGAAAAATTTTTATTATATTATTTGGATATACAAGAGTGTTAAATTTTAAAAGCTTGACTTCTTGCAAATTTAATTAGGGATTAAAAAAATTTTAGTTAAATTCTCAGAAAAAAAATATTAGTTAAGGATAAAAAATTTTAAGCTAGCATTATCAAATTTTGCACAAATAAATTGATAAAGGAAAAATTTTAAAAAGTTGTTACAAGAGGCGTGGGAATGAGAAACTCAATTAATACCTAACGTTAGGCCTCTTTCTTGAGTTAGTTTGGTTTGATTTAAATATAATAATTAAATCAAATTTAAAGTGGAGATTTGAAAAATTCAAAATTAAATCAAATCATAAAAATTTCAAAACAAATTAAATTTTTATTAACAGTTTGATTTAGTTTGATTTGAAAAAAGATAAGTTAAACTTCCTTAGTCATATAGTTAATGAGAAAAAAAAATGATTAACATTATACTAAATATGAAAAATGAATTAATACAAATCATGACATAGAATACACATGATTTTAAGTAGTTATAAAAAAGATTTTAATTAATTTTTTTTACATTTATTCTGAGTATGGTATAAAAATAATATATATTCAATAAAACGTTAGCGAATCAATTTATAAATATAAAATATAAAATTTGATTTATTTTTATATTTATTACTAAAAAATTATAAAAACTCTAATTCTACACATAATATATACTAAATCTATTTTCATAAATTTTTAACGTTTAAACTTTTTATAAAATTATTATTTAATTACTATCCAATATAAATTAATCGACCCAAAAGAAATTTTTATACAAAATTAAATTGAATTATTTATCATTTAAAAGTTTAAATATTTAAATATATACACGGTTTGAGAGGTTTTGGTAAACTAAATTAGAAGCTCAATTTTAACTTTTACAAAATCAACTCAAACCATTAATTTTTGAAATCACAATTTTTAATCGGTTTGGATTTGCGGGTTTGAGCGGTTTGACGAATACCCCTACCTAACGCCTATTTTGGAAAACGTGGAGCACTGTCTCTGTCTTTTCTCCGAAATCTCCAAAGAAACATCGCTACTACTTGCTGACTATTCCTATTCAGGTTTCTTTCACTTAAGCGATAGGGTCCACATGAATCTGTCCAATCCAAGACAACCTCTGCTTATTTATATCAGCATGCATTATTTTCCAAAGTACACGATTTTTCCGTAACATTGTCGCTTTTAACTGAGAAACACAGAAATGGAGAAGGCAGGGAACAGACAGAAAGTTCTTCTCGGTCATCTGCAGCCCAATTCTTCTTCTTCGTTTCTTTCTCATACCCAGAAGTCATCCTCTCTTTCTGTAAGCTTATTTTGATCCATTATGGTCTTTTTTTGACGTGTGTTTTGTGTTTAATCAATTTTTTTTTTTCTGTTTTGAACTAAAAAAGTGTTTTCTTTGAAGTGAAAATTTTAATTATTCTTGATTGTAATTACAGGGGTTAGATAATTAACCTTGATTTTAATCATGGGTTGATTGTTTTGAATTAATTGTGTTATGTTTCCTATGATTTATGGTCCAAAAGGAACCAACTTATGCAAAATCTCATTCGGAGGAGACTTTAATCTCAGTATCATTTAGAGAAACTTCTTACAGAAGATTAAAAAATGAAATATCTTCTATTTCGTTGATTTGTATAACAGACATCAACTTGTCTCGTGTTATGTCCTGTATAGATAACGGGTCTTTGGGCAGTTTAATTTGCTACTATGTTTTGATTTTATTTTTGGGATATGTTGTTACTTTATTACAATGTTTCATTTGTTCTGGAAGTTGAATCTTTGTTTTTCCTATCATTGTTGCTGATTTTATTTGTTAGACTTCAATTTGTGCTGCTGGAAATGGTGCTGCGTATCGCAGGACAGCTGTTTCTGGTGATGATGTTGTGATCGTAGCGTAAGTTTCTTGATTTTTGAAGAAAAATGTTTATCTATATAATATATATATTATATATATATATATATATATATATATATATATTATAATTATATATTATATTCTCTGCCTTTTTTGAATATTATATTCTCTGCCTTTTTTTGACATCCTTTTCTCTGTTATACGTGCCTAATGTAAACAGTGCTTATCGTACTGCCATTTGCAAAGCCAAGAAAGGTGGTTTCAAAGATACGCTTCCTGATGACCTTATTGGCTCAGTTTTGAAGGTTAGATGTCTGAAGCCTGAGTTGTCTTTGATATTTTAGGTTCTAAGAAGATTCTGAAAAGAATGGTTCTGCTTTTGTTATTAAGAAATTGAGTTTCTACCTTAACAAATTCGAGAACTTCGTTGTAGGCACTAATAGAGAAAACAAATGTTAATCCAAGTGAAGTAGGGGACATAGTTGTTGGTACAGTTCTAGCTCCTGGCTCATTAAGGGCAATTGAATGCAGGATGGGAGCTTTCTATGCTGGTTTTCCTGGTATGATTTTCGTTTACTTCTCTCGCTGCTTAGCTATTTTAAGTTCTTTTATCAATAATTGGATTCCACATAATGTATTCGTTTTCATATAACTGAAAATGTACCTGCCTGCCCGTTCAAATTGCTGGCATTAACAAAATTTTGGATTGGTTGAGAAAGTTAATGTTAAACACAAGAATTATATGTTTTCTGGTTAGAAAAGGAACACCGGAACGTTTTTCTACAAATAATGCTCTTCAGAGTTTTTCCCCTTTAAGTATTATTGCTCTCTTTCAACCAGAAACGGTGCCCATCAGAACAGTCAACAGGCAATGCTCATCTGGTCTGCAGGCAGTTGCTGATGTTGCTGCTTCCATAAAAGCTGGATTTTATGACATTGGTAACAGTGATACTGAATTATGTGTTTCTCACTTTATCTTGATCACCTTCACTGTGCTTGACTTTTTCTTGTTCTTTCCAACACTAGGCATTGGAGCTGGGTTGGAAAGCATGACAGTGGATAAAATTGACATCGTTAGCCAAGTTAACCCAAAAGTAATTCCACAAACTTTGTTTTCCTGAAGGACTAATTAATCTCTGAATTGTTTTCCTAAACTTTATTAATGTTTTTAACAGGTAGAAATCTTTGCACAAGCCCGAGATTGTCTTCTTCCTATGGGTATCACTTCTGAAAATGTTGCACAGCGTTATGGTATAACACGGCTAGAGCAAGACCAGGCCGCTGTAAGCTCTATAAAACTTTAAACATGGCATGATCTTTTTATGCAGACATAATGTAACTTAGTCTTGACTTGTTATCTTTATAAAAGGTTGAATCTCATAGGAAAGCAGCTGCTGCAACAGCATCTGGTAAATTCAAAGATGAGATCGTACCAGTTTCTACAAAGGTAAATACATAAAATGAATGATAATGAGGTTCCATCTTCTTTTTCTTCTTCTTCCTCATGTTTTGTGTGTGATGGCTTCTGAAGATTGTAGACCCCAAAACTGGTGAACAGAAGTCTGTCACAATTTCAGTGGATGACGGAATTCGACCAACAACGAACATTGCAGATCTTTCCATGCTGAAGCCTGCATTCAAAAAGGATGGGTGCACAACTGCTGGTATTTAATATTTCCAGTTAATATCTTCTACCTAAGGAACCTACAATTGAAATCTGACTGTAGTGCCATCTTAGGTAATGCTAGCCAGGTGAGTGATGGTGCTGGTGCTGTCCTCCTTATGAAAAGAAGTGTAGCTTTGAAGAAGGGACTTCCAATTCTTGGTGTTTTCAGGTACTTGCCTTTCGTGGACAAGGATAAGTCTAGCAACGGATCATTGCCTGCTCCTAATTGTATTATACTTGATCATAAACTATACCATGACTATCTCTATTTGACAAAAGAATACGTATTTACTATTTTCTGCATCAATTAATTCCATTTCTTTTACATCTGGTTTTGATATAGTCATACAATTACTGGGTATTGTGGAATGCTTTATTTCAAGAATAAATAGAAAACAGAGAGAAGATGATTATATAGTCAGTCTCTGTCAGTCTCAATATTGATAACCCAATATCAGTAGAGAAATGTGAAGTATACTGCTAGCATGTTCATATCATTTTGGATTTGAGAAAGGGGGTCAATTTATGATCGAAATTGAGAATAAATCCGCATGCAAGGATAATAAGATGAATTACTCACTTTTTCTTGCAGGAGTTTTGCTGCTGTTGGTGTGGATCCAGCTGTGATGGGAGTAGGCCCAGCTTATGCAATTCCTGCTGCAGTGAAGGCTGCTGGACTAGAACTTAATGATATTAGCCTGTTTGAAATTAATGAGGTAATGAATGATTTCTTATAATTTTAGTGGTATTATTAGCAAAAGTGTAAGATTGGAGTTAAGGAACCTATTGTTCTTTGTTCAGGCATTTGCATCTCAATACGTTTATTGTATTAAGAAATTGGGGCTTGATCCAGAAAAGGTTAATGTCAATGGTGGTGCACTTGCACTCGGGCATCCTTTGGGCGCTACAGGTACTTGCAGTGATGCCTTTTCTGATGGTTTATGAGATCTTATGATTTTTGCCAATACATATTACCTGCCAAGAATTCAACAAGACATGTTGGATCATGCATGATAGGCTCTATAATAATAATAATAATAATAATAATAATAATAATAATAAAATCAATCCAAGAATAGCAGAAACAAAAAACAAAACAATAAGACATAAATTTGGCAGGGTTTAGCTTGATATTGAAATCATTTTTTCAGTTAATTGGCGATAATTGTAATGTGACCTGCTGCTTTTTGCATAGGTGCTCGCTGTGTTTCAACTATTTTGCATGAAATGAAACGTCGTGGGAAGGATTGCCGCTTTGGAGTAATCTCAATGTGCATAGGTCTCTCTCTCTTCTTTCTACATGCATATGCACACATACATATATACATACAATTTCATGTAATGTATCACAGTTGGTGAAACAAAGCAGGGTCAGGTCAACTAAATTGAATTCAGAAATTTTTTTTTCCTTTTTTTCTCTTCGATCTCTGATTATGCTCGAACTCAATATCTCCCTGCCCCTAGAAACGATTCTTTTACTGCTGAGCCAAAACTTATTGGTACAAATTAGTTGATCTTTGTAAATTTGGTCTGCTGTATATAGAATCTAGTAGGTTACAAGCATTTCCTTTGTGCAACTAGCGTAGGAAAGTATGCTTGAAGGAAGAAGATGAAAGAAAGTTAATAATTGGAATTCAACATGGCACAACTCTATTTGACTTCTGACATCCTCTAACTACTAGAAGTTTTTGAATATAACTGCAGGCTCAGGTATGGGGGCGGCTGCTGTTTTCGAAAGAGGAGATGGAGTCGATGAGCTTTCCAGCGCTTGAAAAGCTGAAAGTGACAACCTTTTATCAAAAGGATGCTCTTTAGACATTGGTGTTTTCTCACCTTGTTAAATTCTCCATTTATAGCTCTACAGATTATCAAATTAAAAAAAAAAAAAAAAAAAAAAGCTCTACAGATTATCAAATTAAAAAAAAAAAAAAAAAAAAAATAACTAAATATGGGTTGTCAATTCCTATTCAAAAAAAAAAAAAAAAAAAAAATACTAATATGGGTTGTCAATTCCTATTCAGTTTACAATTCCCTCCCTTTGTTTTTTTTTTTCACTTCAATTTCCTGATTTCATTGGGAATTTGTCAAAAACTAAGTCAGCAAAGTAAAATAATGAAACATGATATACGCTGGACCAAAATTTTGCTTTGACAAAAGATATTCATTAATCACTGTATAAAGAACTTTTAAGAAGGCCTATGGACCGAATTCAAACTCCAAGTATTAAAAGAATTCACTTTGAAACCAAAGAGAAACCAATTTATTTGAATGCAATTACAAACTCCAAGTATTAAAAGAATTAGCTTTAGCCCCGAATAATAAGTACTCCTAAATGAAAATCCTTTCCTACTAAACGTAGAACCTAGCTTAGCTTCGAAGATATGGAAGCACAGTTCTCGAAATCATTTGTGCAAGGATCCAATATGTTGCTTGTGTTGGATGTACAGCATCCCAAAAAATATATCTTGATGGGTTAGTGCATATGTGTTGGTTCTGATTGCATAGAGGTCCCATCTCCAATTGCCCAATTCCACAACAACCTTGAAGCGTTTCTTCAAAACCTTCAAATGAAAATAAAAATGAACATAACTTTGATAAACGATTAAACTATTAGCTAAAAAAAGTTAACTTTCTGAATAATTTTTCTTACCATATCTAGCAGGATTTTTAATCATGTCAATTAGTGGGTTGTACAAGTCAACATAAGCAACTTTGGCACCTCTAAGCACAGCTTGCAACCTCAAGATCAACGCTTGAAGCTTGTTGTTGTAGGCAATAGAGTCAGTATTCTGCTGCTGCACACATACACGTCGAAGCATGTATGGGCTTGGCATAAAACTACCAATTGTCACTTGTACCGGCAAACACCCAATCGGTGGCAGACCCGCCACTGCAATCCTCCGTGCTCCGGCATTAAATAGTCTCTGAACGGCAGATTCAAGTTCATGCAGCAGATAATCATGGTAGGCTGAAATAGAATACTGCAGTCTTCTCATAGGCAAGTCGTAAAAATTATCAATCAAGTCATTAGTCCCAATACTAATAACAAATATAGCATTATTCACTATATACTGAGCTCTCTGTTGACCAACCAAGGCCCTAATCCTTGCTAAAGCTTGATCAAAGTTATCCAACTGCGTTGCCATTCTTAATGCACTTGCTAAATTTGCTGTCATGTAATCTAATCCAGTGCCAGCAGAGGCGAAACTAACGCCTGTTAATAAGTCATGAGCGGTGACTTTAGGGTCATGATAAGCGGGCAAGACTTCTTTGAGGCCTAATGTGGATACCAAGTAATCAGTTGATAGTTTTCCATTGGAGAACCTTCCGGTGGCAACGTGGTTGGGAAAATCTTTGCCGTACGGTGCATGATCACCGCGAAAAATAGTGAAAAGGTGGTTGTTGTTGCCTGGATCAACCGTAGAGTCGCCGAATGCAAAAACAGCAGTTACGGCTGGTGATGCTGCTGTTACTGCAGGGATTAAAGATGGAAAAAAGAGGGGGAAAAGAGCAATGGACAAAAGAAGGTGGTGGTTTTAGTATTCATGGTTAGCTGGTGTTGCGAAAGTTGACGATTACTGGGTACTAGGATTATTGTATATATAGAGGTAGGTGTTAACATTCCAAGTTACAAAAAGAAAAGGATTAAAACATCGTGGGAATTTGTATGTCCAAACAGCTAGGACTTGGATAAAAGGTGATATTAAGTTTTCTAATAGGAATTGGAATGAATGGAAACTCCATAGAGTTAGGATTGATCTGTTTTTCTCAAGGAAATATATATTTTCAAGGAGACTTCATCTCTTGGAATTTTCTTCATGTAATAGCAAAATCATTACCCTCATCATTCCAATTCAAACAAATGGTTTCTTGATTTTTAAGGAAGTAGTTACTAAAGATTTTCAAGTAAGAAGGATCTGATCATAATCAAAACTTCAAATGTAATTGTTAGGATTAATTCAAAATAATATTATTAAAAATATTTTGAAATTTCAATTTTATTTAATGCAGATTTTCTACCTAGAATTTGATATTTTTATTACTAGGATTAATGATTTTTAGGAGTATTTTTAGGTCTTATTTTTAGGAATAATTGGATCATTGTCAAAAACGAAATTTTGTAAGGCAGTAGGACATCCCATTAGTAAACCGGTCCGGACTGATTCATCAGATTCTGATATTATCGACCGATTTGTGTGTATATGCAGAAATCTTTCTCATTATCGGACTGATTCATCAGATTCTGATATTATCGACCCGATTTGGTTGTGTATAATGCAGAAATCTTTCTCATTATTTATAGTGGATCTTCATAAAAAAGAGTTTGTAATCGAGTAAAATAATATAACTTCCGACTTTCCTTGTGTTAAAAATTTGATTCGTAAAACACAAAAGTACTGTACCGCCTTTTTTGAAAACGATTGGGTTTCGGAATTATTAGAAAGAATTTTTTTACAGAAGAAGACACTCTTTCTTTGAATCTTCCCGAGAGTTTTCCTCTGATTTCGCGCAGGTTATATAGGGGGCGTTTGGTATTTTGGAATATTATTTCTATCAATGATTTGGCCAATCATGAATAATTGGTTTATGAAATCGAATTTTCTCTAAATACTA